TCTACCAGGGAGAGGAAGATCCAGTACTTGCAGGGCTGTTATAAGGGAGGGGGCAGACTTGTTCTGCATGGTCCAAGGGGTCGAATGAGGAATGATATGGGCTGACAGACTTTGGCTCAGTAAAAGGTAGAGCTTTCCACCAATGAGAGCTGCTCAAAAGCCAGTGGATTTCTTTGGGAGGTAGTGGGTGCCCATCTCTAGAGGGAGCAAACAGAGGTTGTGGGAGTGGCCAGAGAAAGGTTCCCCGTTCTGCAAGTTGACCATTAACTTCTGCATCTTCTTCAGAATTTGTTTGGTGGCGGAGTGGGGGGGTGGGGGTGGGCTTTTCTCATTCCATGAGCTCCCTCAGTGATCCCAACTTTGGCTTCCATGAATAGCTTCCCCATCCTGTTCTGAGTTCCAGCTCTGTGTGTCCAGGAATCCATCAAACATTTTGTCACGGATGATCCATTCCAAGCCCAGTCAGAATTGTTCTTCCCCCTCATTTCCAGGTCTCCCCATCTTCTGTGTGTGACACATGCACCCATCGGTTGAAGCCTTCAGTACATCCTTGGCTCTTCCAGCCCCTCGCGTGCAAACAATCCCTAAGACCAGTCATGTCTACCCTTGAAATATTTCCTAAGCTGTGCCCAGGTATCATTAAGTGACTCTGATAAGATAGTGTTCAGTTCATGTTTTGAAACACCTATTCTAGATGTGGTTTCCTTTTGCTGCTCTGAGCAGTAGCAATTTTCACGGGGTGGGAAGAGGGGGAAGAGAAGGCGGGAGAGGAAGGGAGGGATGAGTCCCTAAATTAGTCACTTCAGATGCTGTAAGAAAGACCCAAAATAACGGTGACGCTAGAACAGATGCTTATCCTCACCCAAGTGACAGTCCGGGTATGTCCAGTGCTGATACTGCAGCCACTCAGGGGCCTTCTGTCCTGCAGTTCTGCAGTCCCCAGGGTGTTGCCTTTGGCAGCGTGGTCCTAGATAGCTCACCACATCTGTGTTCCAGCCAGTGGGAAGGGGGAGAAGAAGAGAGAGGGTATGCTCCTTCTCTTTAAAGGCATGCCCCAGAAGTTGTACACATCAGTTCCTCCCACATCCTATTAACCAGAAAATGATCACATGGCCATACCCTGCTGCAAGGCAGGCTGGGATCTGTAGTCTTTAGCCAAGAGACCCTGTGCCTAACAAAATATTCTACAGAAGAGGAGGAGAACAGATGTAAGGGGAACACTAGTGGTTTCTACCACAGTCATTTTGTACATTTCAGTGTGACCTGCATGGCAGTTAATTGGCTGGACCTTAAGGATAGAGTACATGAAGGCTTAACGTACTAATGAAGTTCCATTAGCATCCAGTAAAGCGTTTTTTCTTTTACAGATGGGAACATGGAGCTCAGAGAGGGGAAGTCACCTATTAAGACTGCACAGCAAAGTGTCAGAAGTGGGACTGGAACCCAAACTTTGGGCTCGCTTTTTACTGTTTCAAAGAGATCTAGCTGAGAGGCAGACAAGCAGTGCCAGGAGGACAGGTCCCTTGGGGCTGGGGAGAGACCACCTTTCCCAGCCTGTCTACCTGCGGAGCTGCTCATCATTTGTCAGCACTCGCCTTTAGGGTTATTATATCTCAGAGGTGCCTCCAGATAGCCCTCACTGTATCTGAAACAGCACTCTGTACGGAACTGAGGTGATTTCTGTGCACTTCCCTATTGATGCAAGACAGACGCAGCTTAGTCCTCTGTTCCCCAGTGCCTGCCTACCAGGGACTTGGTGAATAGTTAAGTGAATAACTAAATACACAAATGAATGTATATTCAAGGACTGCTTCAATTGCAGGTAATAGAAACTTAGCTCAAACTGGCCTGAGGGGGGGGAAAATGATTGGCTCAAGTATCTGGGCCGTGTAGGTGTACAGCTTGCTTCAGGCATAGCTGGATCCAGGGGCTTAACTGTTGTTTTCAGAAGCTGTGCTTCTATCCTATGCCGGCTAGCAAAGATTGACACTGGTTATGTGGCTTGACCCTTCTTGCCCTCTCCATGGGAAATGTTATCCAAGCAGCCCCTGCAGGAATTGGGAAGAGTCAGGGGGTTAAGAGAATATGGGGTGCTATTGGTGGTCATGGTAGGGGCAAGGAGTTCCTCTTGGATATCCCCAGTTCCAGGGCATCTTGGTAAAGAGCCCAGCCTCAGCCCTTGATCTTTGGTTTTGGCTTTATGGGGGTACATCTTGGGTCATCTCTTGGGAGCTTCCCTGTGGCTCCACTTCTGCTGAGGTTGGATGCACTTACTGTACCCTCAGGCCAAGGGTGGCCTGGCCCCCTCACTCCTGCTCCTCTGGGAAAGCCAAGGCACCCTGGGGTCTTTCCTGGCAGGGTTCCGTGGAGTTCCCGCATTCGGCGGGGTGGGGTGGGGTGGGGAGGAAGAACCGTCTGCTGACTCACTGGGAGGGGCGGTACATGCTGGCTCCAGGGCAGGTCCTGCCTGGGGATGACAATTCCCCTTTGTAGAAAAGGTGGGCAGCGTGGTATGAATGCAGCGTGAGGTCTGTGTGTCACCATGGGGCTCTGCGTACTAGGCAGCCCATCTGTCCCACTGGTCACAGGCCATGCTCTCATTCCCTGGCAACATCTTGTCTCTGAGATGTGTTTCTCCCTCCTGCCTTCAGCTCTGGGAGCCCAGCTATCGGGGTGGGAGTCTCTTGGTGTCCTCGGTTCTGGTGTGTCAAGGGCTTCTCCCCAGGGAAAGCACGAGAGTGGGAACTTCCCTGAGTCCAGAGTCTAGGAAGGGAGTTGAAGGGAGCAAATCCAATGCCCACCCCTGCGAACCTCTCATCCTGCCTCTGGAGGGAAGGACAGCTCGGCCCTTGGGGAACCTGATAGGTCTGGTCGGAAGAGAGGTGCTCCCTGACCTCCCCACATTCGTGGAGGTGGCAGGCAGTCCCAAGCGACCCTGGCAAGTACAACCCAGTGGCAGGAATTAGCTTGATGGATGAAGGAGAAGTCATAAGAAAGGTCTTGAGTACCAGGCAGAGCCGTGTGGGTTTACTCCCGCGGTAAATAGGGAACCATGAGAGGTGCCTGTGGGGGAAGGATGTGAGCAGATTCCTACCTCAGGTCCTAAGAGGAGACATGTAAAATGTGGGGTTGTCAGGGATGGACTGGAGGGTCCCAGGAGGATCACAGGAGTGCTGGCCGCACAGGTCAGGGTGGGAGACGGTGGGCATGGGCAGCAGTGGGAAGGGTGAGGGAGGCCCAGGAAGGACAGGCCTCGGTTCTGTCTGGGGGTGAAAGAAAGGAAGGGAGACTCGGAATCTGGGAGTTTCTTAACCTTAGTCCCTGTGATTCCTTCAGTGGGCAGGCAAGCATGGCAGGCCGCTGCCTGCCAGCACTTCCTCTGGGCCGTGGTGGCCCTTGTAGGCAGGATGTGGTGCCCGCCAAGGGTGACTTTATGAATGGAGCGTGAAGGCTGCTGACTCAGCAGGTGGCAAGGCTTTGAGGCCGCCAGGTTTGGACCGGAAGTGTCTGGGAAGGAAGTGGCTGCTCAGGGCTTCCCCGCCGCGGACAGCTGGGGGTGGAGGATGTACTGGGCAGGATGCACCCGGCTTGGCTAAGGGACTCCCTCAGCTCAGCTGCTGGGTGTGTGTGTGTGTGGGGGTGGGGAGTGGGGTGCTAGGCTGGGACTGGGAGGGTTGAGGCTGGGTGCCTGTGACTGGAATTGATGCTAATGGCTGTTGATGACATTTGCTCCCTGGAAGGGCAGAGAGGTGTGTCAGGAGGTGGGGAACTCGAACCCTTCTCATCTGTGCTCTCTGGCAAATTACATCACACTAACGAAGTCCCCTCCCTTACCTGGGCTTTAATTTTTTTCTTCTTGCAGAATGGGACCAAGTCAGGCAGCCCGGCTCCCTGGGTGGTTTTGGAGAATGTGAAACCTTTTATATTTTTGTGAAATCGTGTTGGATAGCATGAATCGACCCTGGTGACGTGGTTTGGTCAGGAGGTGGCACGAACAATCAGGCAGCAGCTGTGGGACACAGGGAGCAGGCGGACAGCTTGGTGGGGCTGGGGGCGGGCAGAAGGGCAGCCAGGGGCTGGACCCGGGGAGGTCTGGGCCTCCCTGGCTCAGGTCTGACGTGTAGTCACAGAAATATCTCACTCGGTCCTGACTCCGCTTGGGGGGTCAGCCCCAGTCCAGGCCTCGTCCATTTCTGATCGGTCTTGGGCGCTCACTACACACAGGTTAAACTAGACAGTGTCCTTTCCCTTCAGCCCCGTACTCATATACCAGGCTGCCTTCTAGAAGTCTCACCTGGAAGTTCCTGCACAAACACTGCTCACTGTACGTGCCCTACACTGAACCCTTCCACATTCTCTGTCTCCGTGAGTGTCCCACCTGGTCACTGGGCTCAAAACCATGGACACCCTGACTGCTCCCTCTCTCTCTCCCCTGTCCTGCCATGCTGTCGCTTTCTCCCAGACCTGCTTTGTCTCTTCTGTCCAGCTTTTCTCATTTATCCTGCACAGCTGTCATAGTAATCTTCAGGAACCACAGCTCTGACCATATCCTTTCCTCTATTCCAGAACCTTCAGTGGCTCCCAGCTGCCTTTAGGATAAACTTTCAACCTCTTAGCCAATCTCTAAGTCTTATTCTCCCCTACCAGCTGTTGTCTTGAGCCAAACCAATCCGTGTACATCCTTGGCCTGAGCAGACAGACTTGCCTTTACTAGCTGCCTTACCTCTCCTTCCTTTTGTTTGCATACCAACATCTTAGAAGGGGTGGGTCCCAGCTGCCCACTGCCCTGCTCCCCTGATCCAGCCTCCCCAGTGACTCACTTCCCTCCTGCCAGCATCTCTCAAAATATCCCTCAGCAGTGAGCCTTGTGCGGGTATAGGAGGGAGGACCTCCCAGCGGGCAGTTGCAGCCTTCCACCAAGCTGGTCCAGGGGAGATGAGGTGAGAGAGGGCCTGGGGAGGACGTTTTGAGACAAAGGCCTCACTTCCTCTTCCTCGCAGGCAGGGGCAGCCTTCCACCACGGAGAGCCCAGCTGTCAGCTGCCTCACGGGAAGATGCTGTGTGGACCGGGCAGCACGGGTATGCGTGTGGCCACTGCCCTGGGAGTGCTGTGGTTCTGCCTCGCAGGTGAGGGGAGCAGAGTGGGGCCTGGAGGTGGGGGAGGAGGGGACCATTCCCACCAAGCCTCTCTGTCTAGCAGGGCTGGGGAGGTTTTGGCTAACCTCCTCCCAATCTCCTCTCTGCCCTGTCCACCTCATTCCTACCTCTGGGATCCAACAGGCAACTTACTTTACATTTTTTAGACTCTGTTTTCTCTTCTGTAAAATGGTAATGTGAGCACTAAATGTGATAACGCTGTTTCTCGAACAAACTGTATGTGTGCTTCCTCCCCAGGGCCTTTGCACATACTGTTCCCTCTGCCTGAAACTTTGTGCCCCCGAATGTCTGCATGACTTGATCCCTTATTTCATTCAAGCCTTTGCTCAAATGCCACCTTCCCCAGGCTTTCCTGGCTACCTTGTATAAAATAGTTCATCTTCCCTCCCTTTCCCTGACCTTACTTCATGCTTCTTCCCAACATTTATCTGCACCTGACATATTATATGTTTGCTTGCTGATTGCCTGCTCTGCTCAAAGAGCAGGATGTGTCTCCAGGGCCAAGATGGATGCCAGCCACATAGCAGGTGTGTAAATCTTCCCACACAGTTCTTGGCACAGAGTTAGCATTCAATAATGGCAGCTACTTTAATAACAACATCATCATAATTCAAATCCTAATCAGTTTCTGCTCTAAGGGAGAGTTTGCCTTCTCCCGCCAAGGGGTAGACAAAGTTGAGTGTCTGGTGCCATCTGGTGGTCGGAAAGAGGAAGCACCGCTTTACCCAGAGCTATTGATCCTTCGATTTCTTCAGACAAAGGGCTTTGTCTGGGTGATTCCTCCGGTTTCATCCCCCAAATGCCCGATACAAGGGGCACCCTGTTGGTCTCCAACTGGAGAGCTGGCCTGTGGCACCTGGCATTGTGGCAAGAGATCCAATGCCCACTTAAGACCTTTAGAGATCACTACACACTGCAAAGATGATGATACCCACTACCTGTATGTTATTCATGATGAAAATACTAACTATAAAATGCTATTTTTCTAAGTGTGAGAAACCTTTAATGAGTGCAGTATTCAGTTAGCTTTGTTTCGAGACTGTTTGATCTTCACACTTTTTTTTTGTTTTTTTGCGGTACGCGGGCCTCTCACTGTTGTGGCCTCTCCCATTGCGGAGCACAGGCTCCGGATGCGCAGGCTCAGTGGCCATGGCTCACAGGCCTAGCCACTCCGCGGCATGTGGGATCTTCCCGGACCGGGGCACGAACCCGTGTCCCCTGCATCGGCAGGCAGACTCTCAACCACTGCACCACCAGAGAAGCCCTATCTTCACACTTTTTGAGTGTGCCTGCTTTGCTGGTGCCCAAAGCACACAATCTAACCATTACCCAAGAATGGCAGTGCCAGGCTAGGGGACACATCTCACCAAAAGAAAAGCTATCAGGAACCCCTACTTAATTTTCCAGGGCTCTAAAAGAAGAGCTGGACTGGAGGCAGAGGTGACTGGGTGGGAGGCTGCAGGGCAGGGGTAGGAGCAGGGGAACCTGACCCAACGGGCTTTTCTCTGGTTATATCATACTCTTTTTTCATTCCCTTTCAATCTCAGCTTAATATCTCTTTATGGAGAAAGTGGCTCACCACCATATTTAAATGCATGGGTATTCTTTCTTTCTTGCATAAAAACTAATCATGTGTATTTAGGAAAAGAAAAATGAAAAAGCACTTGTGATTCTTTCTCATCCAGAGAAAACCACTAATAACATTTTGGTGCATACTTTTTTAAGACTCCCTTTTTACAATTTATAAAGATAATATATATTTGGGAAATGCAACCAGCACAGACAGGTGTAAAATACCTGCCAGAGTTTTGAAAAGCTACCTCCTTGCTTTCTATCCATTGGCTTGCTTTCTTCCTTCATACCCCAATCATATACTAATAAGAATTTGTGTGCTAGTTTGTCCCTCTCTCCCGCTAAGACGTAAGCTCTGTAGGGGTGTGACCTTGGTGGTGTTCTCCGTGGCATTCCTAACTCTTACCCCTGGCATAGTGGGTGCTTACTATATTCCTGCTGATTGAATTAGAACCAAAGGTAATAAACTCTTAGGCCTTAAAAAAAAAAAGGGAGTGGACAGGGCCTGAAGTTAACCCGGAAGGGGAGGGGGACTAGGGAGGCCCGGAGTGTCCCGGCCCCTCCTCACCGTCCCACCCCACCAACCGCATCCCCAGGCGCCGCAGTGGAAGTCCGGATCCCTGAAGACCCCGTGGTGGCCCTCGTGGGCACTGACGCCACCCTGCGCTGCTCCTTCTTGCCTGAGCCCGGCTTCAGCCTGGCACAGCTCAACCTCATCTGGCAGCTGACAGACACCAAACAGCTGGTGCACAGCTTCGCCGAGGGCCGCGACCAGGGCAGCGCCTATGCCAATCGCACTGCGCTCTTCCCAGACCTGCTGGCTCAGGGCAACGCGTCCCTGAGGCTGCAGCGCGTGCGCGTGGCTGATGAGGGCAGCTTCACCTGCTTTCTGAACATCCGGGACTTTGGCAGCGGCAGCGCTGCGGTCAGCCTGCAGGTGGCAGGTGAGAGCCGCGAAGGGGGTGTGTGTGCCCTCCCTTTGGCACACCCCTCATACTTCCCGCAACCCCTTTACCCACTGACCCAGGACTGACCCGTGTCCTCACAGCCCCAGGCACCTTTCCCCTCCACTGTGTCCCGCTGCCCTTGCCTTACGTTGACCTCTGCCCTCTACCCTCTGCTCCCCTCCAGCCCCCTACTCAAAGCCCAGCCTGACCCTGGATCCCAACAAGGACCTGAGGCCCGGGGACACGGTGACCATCACGTGCTCCAGCTACCGGGGCTACCCCAAGGCCGAAGTGTTCTGGCAGGATGGGCAGGGTGTGCCCTTGACCGGCAACGTAACCACGTCGCAGACGGCTAAGGAGCAGGGCTTGTTCGACGTGCGCAGTGTCCTGAGGGTGGTGTTGGGCACTAATGGCACCTACAGCTGCCTGGTGCGCAACCCCGTGCTGCAGCAGGACGCTCATGGCTCTGTCACCATTACACCGCATAGAAACCCCACAGGTTTTTGTTTTGTTTTCTTAAATGTCCCCCTGGGGGTGGTGGTGGTCCTGTGTGCAGGGGTCACGGTATCTGAATCTAGCTCCATACCTTCAGTCTCTCGGAACAGTGAGATGCCTAATAATAATAACGGAAAAGACAAACAGGGTGCATAGGCGGCAATCTAACCGTGGTGGGAGTGGGTGAGGGTGATGATTACAGGTCCTCTCAGCTCTCTGGGTCCCCTGATTCCAGGGCTCTGGAAACCTCTGGAGAGAATGGAGAAGCATTCAGATCTCAGAAGAGAGTGGAAGGATAGGAGAGGGAAATGGATCCTGGTGGAAAGGGGAGTTTTGCTAGGGCTGGAGGCTGCTCTAGGCCGGGTCCCCCCCTCCCCCCCTCCCCCCGGGGATGGACCTTTTCAGGCCAAGGCCAAACTGCTGTGATTCTTGTCAGAAGATTAGGGAGACTCCACGTCTTGAAGTGCTGAGACTTAATCTGTTTTTAGGTCTGGGGAGAAAATGGGAAGATGGAAAGGGACCTGGGGGTTGATGGAGGAGCAGGATGCTGGGGGGTGGTAGCCCAGAGTGTCGGCGCCCCTCCTCACTGCCTGCCGCTCCAACCTCGCCCTCAGGTGCTGTGGAAGTCCAGGTTCCCGAAGACCCCGTGGTAGCCCTCGTGGGCACTGACGCCACCCTGCGCTGCTCCTTCTTGCCTGAGCCCGGCTTCAGCCTGGCACAGCTCAACCTCATCTGGCAGCTGACAGACACCAAACAGCTGGTGCACAGCTTCGCCGAGGGCCGCGACCAGGGCAGCGCCTATGCCAATCGCACTGCGCTCTTCCCAGACCTGCTGGCTCAGGGCAACGCGTCCCTGAGGCTGCAGCGCGTGCGCGTGGCTGATGAGGGCAGCTTCACCTGCTTCGTGAGCATCCGGGACTTCGGCAGCGCCGCGGTCAGCCTGCAGGTGGCAGGTGAGAGCCGCGAAGGGGAGGGGGGTCCCCTCCCTTTGGCACACTCCTCATACTTCCCGCAGCCCCTTTACCCACTGACCCAGGACTGACCCGTGTCCTCACAGCCCCAGGCACCTTTCCCCTCCACTGTGTCCCGCTGCCCTTGCCTTACGTTGACCTCTGCCCTCTACCCTCTGCTCTCTTCCAGCCCCCTACTCAAAGCCCAGCATGACCCTGGAGCCCAACAAGGACCTGCGGCCCGGGGACACGGTGACCATCACGTGCTCCAGCTACCGGGGCTACCCCGAGGCCGAAGTGCTCTGGCAGGATGGGCAGGGTGCGCCCTTGACCGGCAACGTAACCACGTCGCAGATGGCTAATGAGCAGGGCTTGTTCGACGTGCGCAGTGTCCTGAGGGTGGTGTTGGGCGCTAATGGCACCTACAGCTGCCTGGTGCGCAACCCCGTGCTGCAGCAGGACGCTCATGGCTCTGTCACCATCACAGGTAGGGGCAGACGAACAGCTGGGGAAGGATAGAGGGGGCCGTTGCCTTTTATCTGGACCCCGAACTGGAATTTAGGTAGGCTTGGGTGGTCAGAAGACTTAAAACATTTTCATACATTTCAGGTGTTTCAGACTCTACTCCAAGAAGTCCTTAAGGGACTTGCTTTATCGAGCTGATAGGAATCATTTGTAGTGTTTGCCCTTCTGAGAGTGTCTTAGGTGGTCCTTGTGCTTCTTGTGCAGGGAACTGAGTACCTGCCTGGATCTGGAGGTGTGGGCGGGAGTTCTGCAGCAGCCACGAGGCATGGCTCTGGAGTGCTTTCCTACGGGAACCTCTCCAAGTGCTGGGAAGGTGTTGCTACATCACCATCTGATGCTGGGCACCATCTGTCTGCGAGGCCCTGAGAGACAGCTGGGCCTCTCCAGGTGGCCATACCCCTCACCCCATCAATGTCAGCTCTCCTGATGGAGTTGAGCGGGACCCAGGCAGCCTTTGGAACAGCCGGCTCTCTCTGCTGCCCCCATGTGGTCAAACACTAGATCAACGCCGCCCCTGTGGCAGTTGCCGCCATCTCTGGTTTTGGGGTCCTAGCCCAGACACACTTCCCTTCCTTTAGTGCCCACCTGAGTGGCACTCAGGTGAAGCGGGCTCAGGCCCACACTCAGGCCAGGAGAGGCAGTCTTAATCCTTGTTTGGACCTCATTCTGGCTCCTCTGTCCCTCCTCATGGGCCAACTAAGCTTTCCCAGGGGTCTCCCTGCATTCTCTGGGGTCAGGACAGCACGTTCTGTCCATCTGGTTCTCCTATTTTCTCTTCCATGACTTCCACCCGACCCACAGCCCATGCAAGTCCTAATTCCCCTGGTGGCCAGTTTCTGCATAAGCCTCTGGACTCACAGACTTATTCCTATCTTCCTGTTGCCCCCACTTACATGGACATTACGTGGCCTTCACTTCTGCAAGCTCAGAGGCAGTGCCCATCACACTTGCCTTCTAGAAATTCAGGCTCATTCCTCCTTCTCTTTTAGGGTTTTCCTTCTGGCAAGGCTGTGTTCCCTCTGCCCACCCCCTCCCCAAGATTGATCCCACCCTCTTTCTGGAGACCCTCAGGTCTGTACTTTCCGTGGAGGAGTCACTGCCCTGGGCTGTTGGATGTCCCGAGGGGTCTCTTTGACCTTTTAGAGAACAGTATATGGTCTGATGTATCCACAGGAGAGAATCAGAAATATTAGATAGAGCAGGATTGACAGAGAATGTGAAGCTTTCAGAGAAGGCGGGGGGGGGGGGTGGTCAGAACGGGCTGGAGTTTCAGGAGAAGTCTCTAGGGACAGGTGGGAGTTGAGGGGACCTTGAAGGATTGGTGAACTCTGTGATAATTTGCACATTGAGCTGAATTGGATATTCGCCACACTGTGTAGAAAGGGCTTGTGAATATAAATGTGGTTATACTCATGTACCTGAAGATGCAGGTCTGAGCCCTACTCTGTCCTTGACTGGTGGGATGAGGGCAAGGCTGACCTGTGCTCCAGGCACCAACAACAGCCTAGAGGTGGACATAGCAAGAGCCCCTCCTCCTGGGTACTTCTGTGGCTCTGCTCCATGCTTTGTTGCAAGAGCCCCACCCTGGGATCCCCAGGGGTTTCTTCCGTGTGCTTCATGGACTGGCCTCTCATGTCAGCTGCCATCCTCCTTTCCTGCTCACTGGGGACATTTACCCCACCTAAGAGAAAAATCTTTATTGAAAATTTCAGTAGCTGACATTTAAAGTGCTTTCATTTCACAGATGAGGAAACTGGAACCCAGAGAGAAGAGAGGACTTTCCCAAGGCCACAGGCTAGCACAGGGGCTCTGACTCTTTCGGTGATTAGACACCTCTCTGAAAATTGGATGCATGATAATATATGCAGTCACTTGCATTTAAGTTTTGAGCGTTTGTGGCCCCTCTAAACTCAAACATGGGGGTCTGTGGCCCTTGGCTCCGGCAGCCTGCCGTGAGCAGATGAACCGGAACCAGAATCCAACTTTTAGCCTCTCAGCCTAATTTTCTCTCCTCCCCACCACCCAGCCTCCTGTTTTTGTGAGAGCAGGTCTGGCCTACTTTGGAGCCCTTGGCCTGTATTTTGCTTCAGGCAGCTTTGAGCCTTGTTAAACACTCTGGGATTGAGACTTTCAGTCCTCCAGCCTGGTCTCTCCCGCTCGCGGGGGTGCTGTATGTGGAGGGGGCTTTATGGAGCAAACACTGGACGTGGAGCCTGGAGATGCAGGTCTGAGCCCCGCTCTGTCCTTGACTGGTGGGCTGAGGGCAAGTCTGACCTGCGCTCCAGGCACCAACACCAGCCTGAGGGTGGCCATAGCAAGAGCCCCTCCTCCTGGGTATTTCCGTGGCTCTGCTTTCCTGCAGGGGCCTCACCCTGGGATTCCCAGAGGTCCCTTCCATGAGCTTCAGGGACTGACCCTCCAGGCCCCTCGTATCAGCTCCTGTCCTCCTCCCCTGCTCCTGCTCACCAGGGTGATGGGTCCCTTTGCTGCCAATGTCCAGAGCGGCAGCGTTGCCAGCCACGCCCGTTGAAAGTGACATTGGCTGCAAATCCCTGCATCCGTGTCACGGTCTCCACTGCCCAAGGGTTCATGGCGCTGCTGTCTGCTCTGACAGCACCTTCTGCAGGAGCTGCCTTCCCCCTGGCTTTTGTTAGATTTGTCGTCTCCAGGGCCTCTGCTCAGGACCCCGCGTGGGTCCTGGGACTGGGCTGGAGGATGGTGTGCTCAGAACAGCTGCTGGCCCTGACCCAGGCGAGGGTGGCTCAACTCCTTCCCTTTGCCCTCAGCGTTTCACAGAAACATTCCCCTGGCAAGTCTCTTCCTCTTGGGTAAACCCAGAGCCTTCACTCTGGCACCCTCAGTGTCCGCCCTCATCTTTACACGGGAATCTGCAAACATCTTCTGTCAAGGGCTGGATAATGTATATTTTAGGTTTTGTGGGCCACATACCGTCTTTGTTACTACTGCTGCTGCTGCCTCTCCTTTTGTTGGTAACCCTTTACAAATGTAAAACTATCATTAACTCAAGGGTTGTACAAAAACAGGCCACAGGCCAGATTTGGCCCACGGGCTGTAGTTTGCCAACTCCTGATCTATAAGATGGGGGGGGGGGTATCACCAGGTGGGACTGGGGTAATCAGGGAGGGCCTCCCGAGGAGGAATCGTAAGCTAGATGGGGAGTTAGGGAGCAGTTTTTAGGTAGAGGAAACTGGCAGCAATGGTGAGGGGGCTGGAAGGAACCTCTGCAGAGAATGGTTAGGATACCAGTTTGGCTGGAGCAGTGGAATTACAAAGAAGAAGACTGAAGCACTATTCTCATGTCAGTAGGGAGCCATGGAAGGTTCTTGAGCATCATCAACCACAGACTCTTCAGCCCTCCCAGGTTGAGGCATGTCCACGGCAGCCACGGCCGTCAGGGTTTAGAGGGTGTATGGTTGGGCAGGGAAGGGGCCCGGGAACTTAAGTAAGCTCTTTTCATGGTGTCGGGGCCCAGTGAGGGTAGGAGCCCCTGTTCACACCTTGGAGGCAGAGGGGCTGTCCTCAGGGCCACTGGGGGCCAGGCATGACTGTCTCTCTCCATTCTCCCCATCTCCCCTCCCAGGGCAGCCCATGACATTCCCCCCTGAGGCCCTGTGGGTGACCGTGGGGCTCTCTGTTTGTCTCGTCGCACTGTTGGTAGCCCTGGCCTTCGTGTGCTGGAGAAAGATCAAACAGAGCTGTGAGGAAGAGAATGCAGGTGAGTGAGAGAGGGGGGTGTGCGTGTGTGCATGCGTGTGTCTCTGGGTATGTTAGTGTGTCTGTGACATCAACATGAGTGTCACTTTCCAGTGACAGAATGAGTGTGGGTGTGCAAATGCAGCTAGACTGTGTGTGTGTGTGATCTTGAGGCCGAACATGTGTTGTAAACAGGTGTGAGCCTGCCTGTGAGTGTGCAGACATGGCAGGATGAGTGTGGATATGAGTGTGACTGGGAGTGAGTGGTGGATGTGTGACAAGGGGATGGATGTGTCTGTGCAAACAAGCGTGACTGTGAGAGCCTATGTCACATGGGAGTGTCTGTGAGTGAAAGCACACGGAACTCGAGTAGCACAAGCGTGAATGCTTCGTGGGTTTGCGTGTCACCGTGAGAGGGTGTGTCTGCCTCCAAGTGGGGCAGGGTCTGAAGCAGCTGCTGTTTGCTTGGGCCGGGGGGTCAGTAGGAGTTGACTTTGGTGATTGGTAGGTGGTGAGTTGACATTGATAGGTAGGTGGTTTGATCTTGATAGGTAAGTTGACTCTAGTGAGTGGTGGGTGAGTGAGTGGACATTGGTGAGTGGGTGAGTTGACCCTGGTGGGTGGTATGTGGCTGAACATGAAGGTAGATGGTGAGGGGTGGGAGATGACTGGGTGTCAGGAAGGAGAGCATATGTGAACGGAGAGGAGACTGGTCAGTTGGAACAGGTGGGTGGCTGCCTGTGTGGCAGGTGGCTGGGCAGGCTGCGGAAGGATGAGGAACCATAGACGGGTGGGTATGCACGTTGGAGGTGGTGGTTGACTGGGTTGGTGGGCGAGTGGACGGTGGGTGATGGGGCTGGTGGATGGTGGAGGGGCAAGTAGGTGGTCCTTGGCCAGGTGAGCGGCGGGCTCCAGGCTGGGGTCCCTTTCGTCCTGCCACAGCACTCTGCTCTGTGCCGGTCTCTGACCCTGTGTCCCGCATTTGGACCATAGACCGGGCCTGCTCAGCCCCATTTACCTGCTCTCGTGCTCCCGGGAGCAGAAGTTCAATGATGAAAGTGGGGCTGAGGAAGTTTTGGTTCACTCTTCCAGGCGCTGAGGACCAGGATGGGGATGGAGAAGGATCTAAGACGGGTAAGTCTGAGCTAAGAGCTGGCACTGAACAGGGGAGAGGACTCCAGCGTCTGGAGGGACCACGTTCACTTGAAGGTTTGAATGAAGTGTGTCCCGGGGACTGAGGCCTCCCAACCTAGGTGCGTCTGTCTTTGCTCAGTGTTAGACCTCAGGCAGGTCTCCCGGGTGCTGCTTCGTGTCTCCTGCCTCTGCCTTTACCCGCCTACCAGGCTACTCAACCCTGAGGGGCCTGCACTGTGGAGTCTGGTGGCTTCCTAGGGGTGGAGTGAGGGCTCAGGAGACAGGGCAGCCTGGGTTTTAGTTCCAGCTCCAGCTCATATAAGCTGAGTGGCCTTGAGCAAGTCACTTTGCCTCTCTGGGTCTCAGTCTCCTCCTAACTGCTCCCTTCATAGGTTCTGTGGGTTAAATTCAATGAGATCATGTATCTAAAGGGCCTAGTGTCATACCTGGTGCCTGTAAGGGCTCCATACTTTGCAGGCCTGTTATTAGGACGGTATTATCCGCCTGACACAGTCCCACTCTGCTTAGAGGCTGTGTGACTTTGGTCAAAGTGCTTTGTTCCTCTGGGCTTCAGTTTCTCATCTGTAAAATGTCGTCCTGCCCTGATGGCCCCAGAGGGCCATTTTGAAGCTATCTCGAGTGACTTTGCAAAGGGCATGGCACGAGCCTGGAGCCCAGCGGGGGCTGGAGGCCTCACTGCCTTCTCTTCCCTGGGCTTCTTAGCTGGGGGAGGCAGGTTCCCACTGAGCCATTTGGGATGGTGCCAGTTGACACAGCTTCCCCCCAACACCCGCAGAAGGAAGGGCAGGAAATGGACCCCTGGGGACTGCTGTAAATTATGTCAATTAATTCTCTGCCTTTGGTGTCCCCGGGTGTGGCCAGTGTGGAGACAGCCCTGGGATCAGGCCTCATTTTTCATGCTCGGAGGCAGGTATAATTGGCAGAAGGGAGGGAGTGGGGAGAAGAGGGAGGCTTAGAGAGCACTGGGTCCCAGGCCCACCAGGGGACACTTGCAGCCTCCTTCAGTGCCTCACTTCACCCTATTTGTAGAGCCGGCTCAGCGTACTCTCACATCTCCAGCTCGTAGGAGGGCCGGGGAGTTGTTCCCATTATAGAGATGCAGAAAACTGAGGCCCGGGGGAGGAGTGACAAGCCAGAGTGGAGCTGGGTCTGGGGATAGCAGCCGAGGGCCCCTTTTCTGGTGCTGTGATGTTGCCCTCACCCTCTCGACTCTCCCTCCTGCCTTCTCCCAGTTCTTCTAGCCTTTATTTCTTCCTTGGCTCCTATGCCTCTGCCCAACACCCTACCCCACCACTTTTCACGGTGCCCGCCTCACTGTGTACTGCTTCCTTTTTTTGCAGCCCTGCGGCCTCTGAAACACTCTGAAAGCAAAGAAGGTAAAGACACGTGGTGTTTGAGATTGTGTATCTGTGTGTTTGTGCGCCTGTGTGTAGGAGGCTGGGGAGGGCTGTTGTTGGTGGGGGTGATTATCACCCTTCACTGCTGCCCTGAGGCTCCCTCCCCAGAAGAGCAGCCTCGATTCCCTCCTGTTGAAATGGCAGAGAAACCAAGGTCCCCGCTGCTCTCACAGGACGCAAATATGATAGAGGCTTAACCAGGACAGGAGTCGAGGTTGTCTTAAGGCCACTGGTGCCCTGGAACCAACTTCCACTTACCTGGTTTCTGTCTTCTTCCACTCAAAGCTTCCAGCCCCAGGTCCGGAGTAGCTGCTGCAGCTCCCACAGCCCCTCCAGAAGTAAGGGGGAAAGAGGAGAGGGGGGGACATTTTCTTCTAGGGCTTGACTAGAAATAGCTCCCGTCACTCCCGTTTATATCCATTTGTCAGAACCTAGTCACATGACTCCTAACTCAGCTGAGGCTAGGAAATGTGGTTTTCAGCTAGACAGCCACGTTCCTGGTCCACAGTCAGTGGTTACTAAGTGTTAGCAATCATTATTATTTAGATTACTGGAACATCAGCAGTTACATTAGCAAGTGGTTGGTTGGAGGTTAGTTTAGTTTGAGATTCTTCCTTATTAAAAGTAACCAAGAGCCACATCTACGTATGTGTGTTTGTGTATAAATATATGTGTATCTGTGTGTGTGTGTGTGTGTCTGTGTGCATGTGTATTTTGAACAAACTATTCCTTTATGCAGACTTGTCATTAAATGAGTGGCTTCCAGTTAGAAAATCAAAGGTCTTGGGACCTTAATTTTTGGCCAGAGGTTATGGAGCCTTAAATAATTTTCAGGTTGCCTTGTCATCCCTGTTAGGAAATAAACTTTCACCAAGTCCCTGGAGGCTCATCCCTGCACTGAGCTTTTCTTTGGGAAGAAAGGAAGGAAGGACATAGGCCCTGTGCTCAGGAAACTCCCAGAGGTGGGGGGCAGTGGGGCCCTCAGAAACCTGTGCAGAATTCGTGATAAAAGCTGGGTGAGGGAGGGAGACGCAAGAGGGAAGACATATGGGAACATATGTTTATGTATGACTGATTCACTTTGTTAGAAAGCAGAAACTAACACACCATTGTAAAGCCATTATACCCCAATAAAGTTGTTAAAAAAAAAAAAAAAAAGCTGGGTGAGGGGTCTTCAGAAAGGCAGCCTCATGCAGAAGACAGAGCCCCCTAGGGGAGACCTCGCTTTAAGTCTCTGCCCATAACCTTCCAGGGGGGTTCCTGTCACACCTCCCTTACGAGATGCCAAGGTGCCAAATGCAGAAGTGCTCTGTATAGCAAGCCCTTCAGAATGCTGTAGAACGTTCCATGGCGGGAGTGGAGGCCTGTGTTGGGGTCTGGAGGGATGGACATAAATTATCCGCCTCCCCGTTGTCCTGAACCAAATGAGGCATAGAAGGATGGAGCAGATGGAGATCAAAACGTCAGCCTGGCTGTGTGGAGCAGGGGGCCGCCTGACCCTGCTCCCCAGTGTGGCAGCCTGGCCCCCTGGTCTCTGGCCAGGCTGGACAAGCACAGAGGCAGTCCCCAGAAGGGAGAGCTACTCTTCCAGGGACAGATGGAGCCCAAAGGATGGGAGAGGGAGGGGCAGGGTCACACAGGCCCCGGTCCGTCTTCTAAACTCTCCGTGCAGGTCAGGGAGTGGAGTGAGGCCAGGGGTGTGAATCTATGGGGTGAAGAAGATGGATCAAAGGACAGGGAGGGTGTGGGGGCAGAGTTGGGAAGGGAAGAGTGTGCCAGACAGAGGGGAGGGTTGTGTGCAGGGTGGGTGAACCCCTGGGGATTGAGAAAGAGGCTGGCCAGGATTGGGCAGTCTCCCCCAGGCACCCTCGTGGTCTGTCTGATGCCCAGCTGCTGTGTGTGTGTGTGTGTGTGTGTGTGTGTGTGTGTGTGTGTCTGAGCCTCGAGGGCAGTGCTCGATGCAGGGGGCTGCGAGTCAGAATGCTGGGCCCTGTCACACATACTCTTCCCCTTGAGTATGTGACCACATCCCTGGGGTTCTGGCACACTCCCGACAGTAGAACTCCTGCATTTAATGCTCTCCCCGCTTTTTCTCCTTCCCATCATGAAATGCAGATGATGGACCAGAAATAGCCTGACCATGAGGACCAGGGAGCTGCTGCCCTGCCCCGGGGCTCCCACCTCCGGCTGCACTGGGGCCTCAGTGTGAGCCCTGGGCAGGGGGCTTCTCTGCCCTTAAAGGATGGCTTCTACTCTAGCGGGTCTACTCGTTCTGCAAAGGACACGATACATAGACCACCCCGCAGCCTTATTTCTCCGACGGACATGATTCCTAAGTCATCCTGCTGCCTTATTTCTCCAGTGACACGATACATAAATCATCCTGCCGCCTTATTTCTCCAATGGATATGCTACATGGACCAGCTGGCTGCCTTTTTTCTTCAAAGATGTGATACACAGTCACCGATTATCACTTCTCAGCCTTTTCTCCCACCTGCCCGTGATTCTGTCTCCTCTGACAGGGCCACTGCAGCCTTAGCATTTCCTCGAGTCTAGAAGCTTCTCCTTCTGCTCTGTCCCTAAAGTTGGCCTTTCCCCTGTCCTGCTAAGTGAAGACAGGGCCCCTCCCCCAGGCATGCAGACATGCAGGTGCACGTGCTGGAACACGTGAGGACCTCCCCTGGCCCCGTCTCTTCCGTGGCGCCCTGGGCTGTGCCCTGTGAGCCCCACCTTCTGCCCGCCCTCCCCACGGGAAGCACGTGCTGGTCACACTGGGTCTCTGGGCGGCTGTGTGGGCCCCCTTGGGGTCAGCTTCTGTCCCTCTGCTTTTCCTGACTTCCCTTTCGTTTATCCACTCAAGTAATGTTCACTGAGCATCTGTGGGGTGTCAGCGCTATGTTAGGTGCTGGGGACCCCGTGTGAGAAGACAAGCCGCTCCCTAAGGAGCTTGCCCTTCAGCTGGGAAACCCGTGAGGAAAGAGTGGTTGTGAGGGGCTCCTGCCTGGCTCGCTACTGTACTCCTGTTCTGTACCGCACTTCCCTGGATACCTCACTCCCATCCCATCCCTAATCCTTACCCAGAACAGAGGGTGGGGGCAGAAACCTGGAGAGAGGGGCAAAGCCTCTCACCACGACTGGAGAATCTGATGGTTTCCAAAGTGTCTTTCCAGGCATGAGCAGGGGGGCAGGCGGCCAAGTCCTGACAGACCCCGGGAAGCTGAGAGCCGCAGCACAGAGGAAGCCTGGGGCCTCTCCTCGCTGGCTGGAGCTTGGGGGCAGGGACAGCCCCCTCTCCCACCATGGTGCTATTCTGGGCCTGGGCAGCCACTTCCTGGCTTGTCTCTGGCCGGTCCCCAGCCTCCAGTGGAGTAAACTTCTGATGATCTGATGTCCTCCTGTTGACATCCCTCCCTTCACCAGGAATGAAAGATGTGGGGATTTCTAATTTAAATATGGGACTCTGAGGGACTTTGTTAACTGGTGGTGTATTTTGGGAAAAATAAACGCCTTTGTAGAAAGCTTTTTCTCTGCAAAATGTGTGGCAGTAGGGCGGGCAGCGGGACTTGGCAGGAAGGGTTCCCTTCTGGACGTTTGAAGCCAGAGTAGGGATACCTGGATCTCCTTACTGTCACTGTCCTTAAGTCACGGGGTCTCCATGACCCCCTCTCTAGCCTCAGTTTCCCCCTTGGTAAAGTGATGTTGGCTGTCCAGAAAGCCAGGCCCTTTGGTCACTTTTGGGGGCTCCACCCCGAATAGCTTTATCTCAGAAGACTAATAGCTTTGTCTCAGAAGACTCAGACCTCAGGCTTGTTTAAGGGCTAATGCCCCCATTTCATGGATGAGACCCAATAAGAAGCTGACACAGGAAAGGATCTCTGTGTGCTGTTCTTGGCTGACCCAGTGGAATGGGCACCAGGCCCGAGTCAGAGGTCCAGGTCTAGGACCTAGTTCTACCCTGTGATCCTGAGCTAGGCATTTAGCTTCTCTGGGCCTTAGTTTTCTTATATGAAAAATGGGCCTGAGGTTTTCCCCACCTTCTGGCTCCAAAGACTGGGAAGGGGGGTTGAATGTGGCAGGCAAACAGTTTCCAGAGAACCGGGTTCAGGGACCTGGGAGCCTGCAGAGTGCACAGTGCTCATTTGACCCGGGTGCCAGGGTCTCAGAACTGGCCAGCCAGTCAGTCCCCGAGTTCTGCAGGCCCTGGGGCAGCTGGAGGCGACCGGGCTGGGGGTCAGGACACTTGACATTTTTTCCCCAGCTCTGCTACTATCTTGTGACCAAGTCCTTCATCCCTCTAAACCTTCATTTCCTTATCTATTAAGAAGGGGTGACGCGTCCTCTTCTGAAAAGTATGTGGCATTCTTTACAAACTGGGGTGCTTCTTCTAAAGTCGATGACCCTGGGGATGAGACCTTGCTAGAAGTCCCACCCCTGGTCCTCTGGGTGGGTTTTAGCATCAAAAGCCTTGTGCTGAGGCTCTGCCTTTGCCCCTTATCTCCCCCTCTGCCCTTGAGCGTGTTCTCACCTCACCAGGCATCAACCCCACTTGTAAGGTGGGGACAATAGTAGTTCTTTTTTCATAGGATAGTTGCGAGGGTTGGACAAAGCAGGAAGAAGACACTACAAACTGTAAAGTGCTGGGCACGCGTGACGGCTTATCTTTCCCTCCCCGCAGTCGGGCTGCACACTCTTGCTCCCTCCGTGATTTTGTAGATGGAGCTCAGTGACCCAGAGCAAGCTGTCTGAACCTCAGTTTGCCCATCAGTAAAACAGGCACGGTAACCAGTGCTTTTTCTCTCTGACAGGGCGCTCAGACATGATGCTGTATCAAATACTCAAGGGAAGGATCCGGCAGGTGTGGGACTTCCCTGGGCGCTGGAGAGTGAGGAAGGTGGCCACTAACTCCCCTGGTGACTGGTGCCCCAGAGAGCAGTACTTTTAGCTGCCTTCCTGGGCAAAACTCCAACTCCTGCGTTTTAATGGAGAAATAATTCTCACAGTGTGACAAGCTGTAGCCTGCAGGTGTCACATCCATATTAAAGAGGGGACAGAGCAAGGGTTCATTTTCCTGGCTTGAGGTGTGACCAGAATTCACCTCCAGGATCATATGTAACCAAGGCTGTGAAGACCAATTAGTGGCCCTGACTACTCAGGAGGAGGGGACTGGGTGTGTGTGTGGGGGGTGCCCTACCTTTCTCTACCTGCTTGCTTCCTCTTCAGAGCACTCTGCTTCCACTCACAGGCAGGGACGGCACCTTCCATGGGGCCTGTTCAGGGAGAGGCACCTGACCTTGCTCATCCCGGGAGGTGGTTGCCAAGTGGGATGCTGCTGGTACCTGTGGGCCAATGAGCAGAGACCCTGGCAGATTCTGAGCTGGGCAATGGCCAAAGATCTTGATGCAAAGCCCAAGTCTTAAACTGAGACATGAAGCCAAAGTTTGCTCCGAGGAGTCCAAAACCCAGGCCTCCAAGTGCAGGGCACTCACAGAGGGGCAGGAGCGGAGCTGCCGTGAAGTGAGCAGCCGGAACGTAGAGAGCGTGGGGGGCAGAAGCTTCAAACACCACAAACGCAAACAATACAGAAATGTATAGAGGGGTTGTGTTTACCTCCAGTCCCCCCACTCAGAGGGAAGCACTGCTAAGGGTTCGATAGCCTTCCAGACTTTTCTCCAGGCATACACATTTATAAAAATGAAATCGTACATACAGTTCTGCAACTTTTTTTCTGTTTTCTTTACCATTTTCTCAAGTCAGTTCTCTTTCTTCCCCTTTTTTTTTTTTGCGGTACGCGGGCCTCTCACTGCTGTGGCCTCTCCCGTTGCGGAGCACAGGCTCCGGACGGCTCAGCGGCCATGGCTCACGGGCCCAGCTGCTCTGCGGCATGTGGGATCTTCCCGGACCGGGGCACAAACCCGTGTCCCCTGCATCGGCAGGCGGACTCTCAACCACTGCGCCACCAGGGAAGCCCCTGGGTTGCCTTTGTAGCCAGTCCCTGTGGCAGCAAGAACTTGTAAATGAAGAACACTTAGGGCCACTAGCAAAATGGATTCTAGACAGGGCAAAAATGGTGCTGGGAACTGCCGCCCCAGCCAGGCTCTCAGGGACTCCGCCACGGAGCCCGACTCAGCAGCAGACAGGGCCTGTGGGCCTCCCTTTCTCCCCCACCCGCCCTGCACCACCTTCCCCTTCATCACCTACCTTGTGGTGGCCCCGCCTCAGTTCCCCAGGAGCTAGCGGTCTTCGTGGTTCTGGGACCCCAGTCTTGGAGGTGAGTGCGTCTGCCTCTTGCTGGGTGGGGTGGGAGCAGCCGTCTGAGTGTGCGCTGGGCCTTGGGCTGAGCCCTGCATCCTGTACCCACCACACCTGACCACAGGAATGGGGCCACGTTCACCAGCATCTCACTAGATGCAGGTGCCTCAGGGCAAGTTAAATTCCCTGCACTTGTGTCTGAGGGTGTTCATGACCTGGCCATTTGGCTCCACCAGCTCCAGGTAATTATGGTGACACTATTTCACCACTAATGAGGTGGTGCTCATTAGAGCACAGGAAGCACTGGGTCTCATGGGGCGTGCGCATCCCAGCCCTCAGAGACAGAGGGTCTGCGACCTTTGTCCCCAGCCTTTCCCCAGCACCTGAGAAGCAAAAGAACCCCCTCCCCTCCACTTCCCTCAGCTCATATGATTTCTTCACCCCTATTGCCCTCCTCTGGACATGTTTCATTGTTGTCCCTTTCAGATGGAGGCCCTGCCATGGATCAAAATGTTTCAGCTTACAGTAGATCAGCCTCTCACCTCCTTGATCCTTGAGCTCCTAGAGATACAGCTCCAGATCACATTCGTCCAATGATTCTCAACCCTGGCTGCACCTTAGAATCACCTAAGAAAGTTTTATTCAGAGTAGTGCCTGGGCCCCACCCCTAGAAGTTCTGATGCAGCTGTTTGAGATCATTGCTAAATAGTTGATGTGCCTACCCCAGGGGCTCCTGCCTAGCTTACAAGTTAATGAGAAATAGGATTCAGAGAGACAGCCCTGAGCCGAGGCTTTGGAGACCAGGCACATGAGACAAGCCAGCTGTTCTCAGTGATGACTGAATCAGACCCAAGGGTATTTGTTTTCTCACTAAAGGAATCACAGACAATACAGGTGCAAGAAAGGTTAAAGGAAGCGATCTTGTTTAGTGTGGAGAAGAGAGGGGCCCTATTCCCTGTGTTGTGGGGCCCAGAGGAGAGCAGGAACCCTGAGTTCCTACCCTTGGTCAGACCACGCACCCAGGCTCCAGGGAAGTGAGAAAAGATGGGGTGTCGGGGATGATGACTCAGCCCCCTTCACCTGAGGACAGGAGAAAGGGGGCTCCCTCCTCTTCCTCCCACTGCCTCCCCTTCTCCCTCCCTTGTCTCCCCCAGGCCTCCAGATGTGCACAGTCACATGGCAGGTTCTGGCTTCCTCCCTCCCTCCAGCACCACGAAGGGAAGGACCATCTGTCCTGCTCGCTGCAGCCCAGCAGTCTGTGCACGTGTGCCAGGCTCAAGGAAGCGCCCTTCACGCTCTTCCTGTTTTCTTTCCTCCCTGCCTCAAACTTGCTTCTGCCCCAGGATATTCTGTGGCCTCCATGGTTCTGCAGACCTGCTCTATCCAGAGTGACAAGAGTGTAGCATCTTTCCTCCTCCACTGCCTTCCACTACCCTCCTGCAAGGTCTCTGGCCTCTAGTCCTTCCTCAGTCTTAAAACTTACCTATCTGGAGTCTACCTGTCTAGTCGCGTGATTCACAGACTGTCAGGCTCCCAGGGTCCTAGTCTGCACCCTACCCCATTCCCTTCCTGCCTCTTGTGTTTCAATATCCTCTCCTAAGCGGTTCCTGCAGAATGTGACCCCATTCTCAGGGCGCTGGGAGTAAGGACCAACATGTGTCTCTGCCAGCCACTGAGCTGACATTTTGCCTTATTTGCTAAGATAATTTAGTGTAATTTGTTGCTAATGAATGAACGCATTACTTCTTGTTCCTATAGCTTTCATAATTACTTTGAAGTCCACGTGCTCACTGGTGACAGCTTCAGCAAACATTCTGAGAACCTGAAGCTGGCCAGGTTGCAGAGCCAGCTCAGCCTCCTTGGGTGACCACGCTGAGGGCTTTGGTGACCGGGGAGTCACGGCCAGGGTGCTGATTTCCTTGGTATCTCCATCCAGGCTGCCCTTCTGAGTGTCCGCCCGTCCACTGCAGCTGGAACGATCTGGGTCAGCCCTACAAGACAATGTGCTGGCGGCCAGGGACTCCAGACCTGGGGCATTTGTGGAGTGGGCTTGGCAATACTGGGAGAGGAGCCCATTTCGCTCTGTCTGGAGGACGGATGATGAGGGAGAAGGGGACAGAGGTGATTGACGGAGCCGAAGAAGTTGTATGCATCATATTCAGTCCTGTTTATAAAAGCCTTTGTTCAAGCTCTTCCTCCACTGGGTCTGCCCTCTCTCTTCTCTGCCTATGGAAATCCTATGTACTCCCTCCCGTGTATCCCCCTGGATCCCTGACTGCATCTCGGTGTTTCACAGCCATAATAAAGCACTGGCTCCTTCACTGCTTTCTGGGAGTTCATATCCTCCCTAGAGCAGTTCTGGATTTCCCTCACCCAGCCCAGAGCACAGAGCAGCCCCTGTCCTGGTACATTGCTGGCAGGGAAGTACCCAAACCACATTAATCCAGTCTCTGAATGGAATTCAGACTGAGGCTGAAGTTTATTTCTGCACCATCCCCGAAAAAAGGATTTCCCAGCAAATGAATAATGTAAATGAGGCTGCCAACGGGTGCTTAACCTATTTAAAGGAATAATCTATTTAAAAAATCTCTTAGACAGCACCTATTTACCCAGAAACAATTGATATGGTAATTGCGAGTCATCCTCTTTTTTTATTTACCAGAGAAGCTTCCCTAAGCTTCATGTTCACCCACTCCCACGCTCTGTGTGGGGAATGCTACCGGTTAACCCTTGGGGTGCTGGGTACTCTGAGTCCTTGCAGGTCACAACTGCAAACTGAGGTCAAGAGCAGTAGCCCCCTACCCTGGTTGACTGAGATGAAGAGAGATCGCCCAAAGGACAGAGGCTTCATGGCTGTCACCTCACCTGCACTTCTGTGATGTGAATGAATAGGTCTGAACAGATGGCCTCAGGCTCAGCCCAGACCAACAGAGAGGGGATAGGCAGTCAGACAGGGTGTGGCGGGGGTGGAGGGGTGCGGGAGGACAGAGATGTGCATGGGGAGGATTGCTCATTGCTCAGCTGAAGATGGCAGTAGAAGGAGCTCCAGGCTCGAGGGGGAGGCAGCCGTGGCCCCCTGGGTACCAGCACTGCAGATCAACGTAATCCCTTGGCCTGCAGATCAATTCTGCTTTCTCAGGGTTTAATTGGCTTGTTGGCTTTGGCTTGCGGAAGAGAAAGAGGCTCTTACCCAAGGAGAGGAGCTGTGTCAGAGGCAGCCAAGGCACCTCCATCCCTGCCCCACCCCCACAGAGGGATAATGGGGCAGGAGACACCATCTTACCCCTTGCCCAGGTCCCTGAGCTGGGTTCTCCCTGCCCACAGGAGTGGGACGAGGCTAGGCTGAGATGCCTGGGCTGAGGGGCTCCTGGGGATGGTTGTCTGGCTCTGTGCACCTGCTCTGGCTCTGTTGCTCCTGGTCTGATGTGGCTCTGGATGGGTATGTGCATGGGGAGAAGGGAGTAGATGCAGGAGTCGGGGGGAGGAGAGTGAAGGACAGCATCCACAAACCTGGGTACCTCAGCCTGCCCAGGAAGGGACCTCCCACCTCTTTCCCCTGTACCACTGAGTCAGAGAAGGGGAGCAGTTGCCCAGCAACTCAGAGCAGCATTCAGAGGAGGGCTCTTGCCCCAGCTCAGCACTGGGTCCATAGGACTCTGTGATATTGCCTTCTGGGGTTCAATCTGAGGACAGGAACATGGCATCAGAGCACCCACCTTCACAAGGCAGGGAGGGCAGCCCAACAACGTGGGCTTCTCCTCTTTGCAGGCCCCACAGGGCCAGCCCCTCTGAGGGAGTAGATGTTTCATTGGTGGTGGTGGCAGTGGCGGCTGAGACCACACAAGCCATCTCTCCTCCCAGCCTCAGCAGCCTCTTCTCTGATCTTGTGGTTTTCCTAATAAACACATTTAAAATATTTATGAAGGCAACGTCAGTGAAGCAACACAACATTACTCTAAAATGATTTTCTTCTTCTAACAGGTAGCTTTGGCATGAGCGCTGATTGCTAAGCTCCTAAAGGCAGACCCCTCAGGGTGAAGCCCCAGGGTTGGCACTCACGGCTCTCCCTGAATGAGCTAAGCGGTGGTGGTCCCTCCGCTCTCTTGGGGGGCCAGGCCCGGTGGCAGATGAGGAGGTAGGATGGTTTGATAGGGCTCAGGGGCTGGACTCTGGAGGAAGGAGTCGACTGGATGAGGCTCTGGGACAACTCCCGATAGGGGAAGAGCCTGAAAACTGGAAGTGTCTCTGGAACCATGGACAGCCCCTCCAAGCTTTGCTCCTGGGGAGATGAGAAGCCCAGGGGCTGGGAGCTAGGACTCCTGGGTCCATGCCCCACTTTGTTGATAGGAAGGGCTCTGCTCTAGAAGGAAGTGATGGATGCCATGGGTTGGTGGGGAGGGGCCTGGGCTGCTTTGCCCACTGAAGAGTTGGTGGCTGAGCTCAGCTACTCCTCAGCAGTCCTGGGAAGACAGGATATGATAGCAATACCTTATATACACAGGTTGGGGTGGCATTCGGGATTTGCAGCTGGCCCCAGATTCTTCTGTCTGGCCTTTGAAATTCCAAGGAGTCCCCACCTGCCCTCCTTGCACAGACCCCTGCGCTGTCCTCTCATGTCAGCTAGATGCACCTTGTCCAACCCCCTCTGGTGCAGGCAGATGGGGAAATGGATGCCCCTTCTCACACCTCCACCCCTCCCCAGGCTGGAAGGAAAACCCCTGTCTATATCTATCTGGAATGCAGATGGAGGGAGGCCGTGATGGCAAAATCTGGGGAGGAGGGTTCTATCCTCACCCAGCTCAACCCCAGAAAAGCCTCTTTCTAACAAGAACTGTTTTCATCACCATAGCCTAAAGCCTGGAGCTGCTCTAATTATGTGTCAGGCTGGAATCTGACAGGAAGCATTTTAATTATTAATTTGAAGTGTGCCTAGTGTCAGAATGGAGGAAGGCTGGTTCCTTAAGCTCACTCATGCCCAGCCCTGTCTGCTGGGACCTCATTAGTGACACCTCAGGCCTCCCAGACCTCCCTCCTCAGGCAGAGCCTCTTTCCTGCCACGGTGCAGGATCTGCATCTCCCACTCCTCTGCCCTTCCTAACCCCCTACTTTGCACAGCGCTCTCTTGTTTTCCTTATTTCCCTAAACGCTTCGGCATGGAGTCTACCGTTCCCACTGTACAGATGGAAGAGATTGAGGCCCAGGGAGGGCATGGGGTCTGCCTGATGTCGCAGCACACAACAGCCACAGGCAGGACAGAACCTCTGCATTTTCTAGTTTGGACTCTTTAGTTCTTGCCTGCCAGTGGAGGTGGTCTTCTGCAGGGCTCTCTTTCTCTATCGTCCCATCTTCATGTTCACGTCATCTAAGGTGGCATGCAGAGTCTTCTTTGATGCGTTGCACGCATCTGACACTTTTAAGGAACAGTTTGCTTGCTCCATTTACACCCAGGCATGGGCATGCCCTTCTGGGTTCTGGGGCCAGACTGCTTGCCCTGTGCCAGGTGAGGTCGGGGTAAGGGCCTGCCATAGACTGAGGACATCATTTGGCCTGTTTCCTTTTCTGCCTTGTCAAGGGAGATTCAGCTTCTGCTTATTGGTTGTTTTCTAGATTTGACCCTCCGCATTCGCCTGTGGATCAGGGCCTGTCCCTTCTGTCACGTGCCATTGTTTCTGCATTTCTGAATTCAGGGCCATGAAGCCCCAGACTGGACAGCAGCCCTGGAGCTGAAAAATGTACTGTTTCATGTGTGTCCAGCTGCTGGCTTGCTTCTGTATCTGAAGATTCCTTTTGTTTTTCCTCTGAGCCCCGGGAGTTTTGCAAGGTTGAGGTGGCGTTACTATCCCAGGCTTCCCTCCTTGTGTTGCTAGATTCCCAGGTAGCCTGGCTCCACCCTGGCTGATCCCAGTCCTTCCCAGGCCATGCCTGCCTCAGTCCACATCCAAGGCTTAATGCTTAGGAAGTTGTTCTCAGCTGATGGCCTCTGGTTCACTTCTCTATGAAGCCTTCCTTTATGTTTGATCCCGTGCTGTAGCTGGATAGAGAGGCCATGATCCACTAGGGAGGTTTGATCTAGGAGGACCTGTGGGGTCCAGAGTAGGAAGAAGGAACCTTGGAGGAATTGGGGGAGGCTTACCAAAGATGGTGACATTTGAACTGAGACTTGAAGGATAATTGGTATTTTAGTCTTGGTTGGGTGTAGGAAACAGAAGCTACTGTATTTTAAGCAGAAAGAGGTTGAACTCAGCGTCCTGGGTGTTTACAAAATTATTGGAAGGGCTGAAGGAGCAGGCTTGAGGCTGGGTCTCCAGGAATGACACCCAGAATACTACAGAACTGACCAGCTAGGAGGCTGCTACCTTGGCCACTTTAGAAAGGCATTGTGGTAGGCTGAATAACGCACCCCCCCAATATCCCCATCCTAATTTCTGGAACCTGTGAATATTATCTTACAATGGTAAAGGAGACTTTGCAGATGTAAGTTAAGAATCTTGATCTCACCAAAGTGGGTATAGAAGGATCATATCTCAACATAATAAAAGCCATTTACAACAAACCCACAACCAACATAATACTCAACAGTGAAAAGCTGAAAGCCTTCCTACTAAATTCAGGAACAAGACAAGGATGCCCACTCTCACCACTTCTATTCAACATAGTATTGGAAGTCCTAGCCAGAGCAATCAGACAGGATAAAGAAATAAAAGGTATCTAGATCAGAAGGGAAGAAGTAAAACTGTCACTATTTGCAGATGATATAATACTCTATATAGAGAACAGTTTCCACACGAAAACTGTTAGAACTAATCAATGAATTCAGCAAGGTAGCAGGATGTAAGATTAATATACAGAAATCTTTTGCATTTCTTTACACTAATAATGAAATATCAGAAAGAAAAGTAAGGAAACAATCTCATTTAAAATTGCATTAAAAAAATACCTAGGAATAAACCTAGGAATAAACTTAACCAAGGAGGTGAAAGACCTATATGCTGAAAACTATAAAACATTGATAAAGGAAATTGAAGATGACTCAAAGAAATGGAAAGATATCCATTTGCTCTTGGGTTGGAAGATTTAATATTAAAATGGCCATACTACCCAAAGCCATCTACAAATTTAATGCAAGCCCTATCAAAATACCCATGACATTTTTCACAGAAGTAGAACAAATAATCCTAAAATTTATATGAAACCACAAAAGGCCCAGAATTGCCAAAGTAATCCTGAAGGAAAAGAACAAAGCTGAAGGCACTGCTTCAGACTATGCTACAAAGCAATAGTAATCAAAACAGCATGGTACTGGCACAAAAACATATAGCTCAGTGGAACAGAATAGAGAGCCCAGAAATAAACACATGCACCTATCTATGGTCAATAACCTATGGCAAACGAGGCAAGAATATACAATGGAGAAAAGACAGTCTCTTCAACAAGTGGTGTTGGGAAAGCCAGAGAGCCTCATGTTAATCAATGAAATTAGAACACTCCCTCACACTGTATACCAAAATAAACTCAAAATGGTCTAAAGACCTAAATATAAGACATGACACCTTAAAACTCCTAGAAGAGAATATAGGCCAAACATTCTCTGACGTAAATGGTAGCAATATTTTCTTAGGCCAGTCTCCCAAGGCAAAAGAGATAAAATCAAAGATAAACCAACAGGGCCTAACAAAACTTAAAGGCTTTTGCACAGCAAAGGAAACCATCAACAAAGTGGAAAAACAACCTATGGAATGGGAGAAAATATCTGCAAATAATGTGACTGATACAGGGTTAATATCCAAAATATACAAACAGCACATGCAACTTAATGTTGAAAAAACAAACAACCCAATCAAAAAATGGACAGAAGACAAATAGACATTTTTCCAATGAAGACATATAGATGGCCAAGAGGCGCTTGAAAAGATGTACAACATCGCTAATTTTTAGAGAAATGCAAATCAAAACCACAAGGAGATATCACCTCACACCTGTTAGAATGACTCTCATCAAAAAATCTGCAAATAACAAATGTTGGCAAGGATGTGGAGAAAAGGGAACCCTCGTAAACTCTTGGTGGGAATGCAAATTGGTACAGCCACTATGGAAAACAGTATGGAGTTTTCTTAAAAAACTAAAAATAGAGCTAACATATGATCCAGCAATCCTACTCCTGGCTATACATCTGGAGAAAACAAAAACTCTAATTTGAAAAGATACATGCACCCCAATGTTCATAGCAGCACTATTTACAATAGCCAAGACATGGAAACAACCCAAGTGCCCATCAACAGATAACTGGCTTAAGAAGTTGTGGTGTGTGTATATATATATGTATATATATATATATATACACACACACACGTATATGTATATAGTGGAGTATTACTCAACCATAAAAAGAATGAAATATTGCCATTTGCAGTAACATGGATAGACCTAGAGAATATTATACTTAGTGAAGTAAGTCAGAGAAAGACAAATACTATATGATATCACTTATATGTGGAATCTAAAAATATCAGTAATACAAATGAACCTATATATAAAACAGAAACAGACTCACAGACATAGAAAACAAACTTATGGCTACCAAAGGGGAGAGGGAGGGAGGGAGGGACAATTTAGGAGTATGGGATTAACAGATGCAAACAACTATACATGAAATAGATAAGCAACAAAGATTTACTGTATAGCACAGGGAATTATATTGAACATCTTGTAATAACCTGTAATGGAATACAATCTGAAAAAAAACACACCTGAATCACTTTGCCATACACCTAAAACTAACACAATATTATAAATTAACTATACTTCTCTTATTTATTTATTTTTGGCCTTGCCACGCGGCTTGTGGGATCTTAGTTCCCTGACCAGGGATCAAACTCTTGCCCCCTGCAGTGGAAGCTCGGAGTCCTAACCACTGGACCGCCAGGGAATTCCCAGCTATACGTCACTTTAAAAAAAAAAAAGGAATCTTGAGATGGGGAGAGTATCTTGGATTATCCAGGTGGGCCCAATATAACCCACGAGGGAGGTTACATAAGAGGGAGGCGGGAGGGCAGAGCCAGAAAACAAAGAAAGAAAAAGAAAGAAATTGGATGACAGAAGCAAGAGCTGACTTGTAAATGGAGGAAGGGGCCCTGACGCAAGGAATGCAAGCATCCTCTAGAAACTGGAAAAGGTAAGGAAATGGATTCTCCTCTAGAGCCTCCAGGTGGGACCCAGGCCTGCCGACCTTGATTTTAGTCCAGTGAGATTGATTTTGGACTTCTGACCTCCAGCTTTAAGAGAACAGATTTGTGTTGTTTTAAGCCTCTAAGTTCGTGGCACCTGGTTATGGCAGCAAAAAGAATATGGGATGTAGGGGAGGAATCACTGGAAGCACTGGGTTCGGGACCTTGCGGCCGTAGCCGGGCCGGGGAGCAGGGATCGTGCTATTGCCTCCTCACACCCATGAGTCGGAAGACTCAACCCTGAACTGCTGCTGCCTTTCCACACCCAGGCTTGCTGGCCTCAAACAGCCCAAAGCAGCCATAGATAGCCTCCAGATCTGCCATCCCAGTCTTGTCAAAGTGCCTGTAACTTCTGGAATGCAGCATTCACACACAGCTTCAGCTGTAAGAGGACCTGGGAAGTGTCCTTTCTACCTCTCCAGTCACAGCAGTCTAGCAAGGCCACTAGGAAGGGGTAGGACTGGGATGCCAAGTGTTAATCAGACATAAACACAACAGGGGAATAACGAATGCTTAAAATGAGTCATATGTGTTAAAACCTGTCTGGGGACACACCCTGAAAGCCTCACCCTGGCTCATGCATGGCTGCCTCTGTGCTTGAATGAGGCTAAGCTATTTGCCCCAAGTCCCACAGCCAGCAGGTGATAAAGCAGGGATCACACCCAACTTTGTTCAGTTCTACAGCTGGAGCTTCTAGGCCCTACAGAGGGGGAAGCAGGGTCAGTCCCATGAAGGCAAATGGCCTTGAGAACACAGAGGCAAGAGGGAAGCAGGCACATCAGGGACTTCGAGCAGCTCATCTGCCTTGAACGAAAGGTATGTGGATGGGAGTGGCAAGGAGGGCAGGGACCAGCAGACACCAAGCTAGGAGGGTCTTAAATGTCCTGCTTTGTTTATTTGTTCTTGTTGTCATCGGGCCATGTGGCATGTGGGATCTTAGTTCCCTAACCAGGGATCGAACCAGTGCCCCCTGCAGTGGAAGCACGGAGTCTTAACCACTGAACCACCAGGGAAGTCCCTTAAATGTCCTGCTTTGTGATCCTAAAGGCCACGAGGAACCACTGACATTTTTTTCTCTTTTCCTTCTTTCATAGGAGGTTTTAAGGCAGGAGAGTGACAAGTTGTTTCACATTTTGTATGTGAAGTACGGTTTACACTAGAGATCAGGGAGCTGAGTCAGGGAGAGCAGACTGAGCCCTGACCCTGCTCACACACGGAGCCCCTCCCTTGCCCTGACTGATCCTATCCTTGGCCTCTCCCTGAGCCCTAATTCTTAATGTAGACTCAGCCTGTCCAGCACCTGAGCCTTTCTCTCACCCAACCATCCCAGGAATGCCACTGATCACAGGGGCAATCAGGTGAAAGAGTGATTCACTCAACGCAGGCATTCTCTATCGCTTTGTCTGCAGCCCAGAGCTCACATCTTAAAAAAGCAGAGAAGCGTCAGCTTCCTCGTGAAGGATAACTGGACAGTGCTTGCCTTGCACCTGTGAATCAAGGAGGACCAGGTGGAGTAGGGGTGGGGGAGGAGAGGAAGGTGTCCTAGGACACTGAGCTCCCTTTTCCATAATGAAGGGGGCTCTCATTACAAACCTGGAGCCTCCTAGCAACCAGATGGGGGTGGGGGAGCACGTAATGAAAACCTGGAGCTACGTGTGCTCTGCTGGGCCTCCAGGAGAGAGATCTGACCCCAGGCCCTCCCACAGTCACATCCCAGCAGGGTCTTACTTAGGAGAGGGATAAGGAGACCTGGTAAGCAGGGCTAGCCAAGTCCATCCCTCCCTGATATCCTCTGGGCTTTCAGAATGTACAAGCCTTATGGGGAAAAGGCACTTGATTAAGCAAAAATTCACTGAAGTGACATCTCACAGTGTCCCATCCAACACTTGAACGATGGCAATTACCTAGTGAATGAGTCGTCTCTGTGGCTCGTGCTCCAGTGGATTGATGGAATAGCTACAAGGGCTATTTGAAGATTCCTTTATTAAAAAGTATGAGTTCATCCCTCGGTCTTGCAATGATGCCTCTAGATTAAAAAAACAAAGCAAAACAAAACTGAGTGGATGCTTCCGCACTTCCAGAAGAGGTCAGCGCCTTAAGGAGGAGCAGGGTCAGGCAAAGTGCCCTTCTTGCCCCTTTGCTCCCCCAAGACCCAGAATGACGTCCCCTCCTTCTGGGAAGACTTTGGGACTCATGGCCCCCACGGTGGATCTGGAGAGGGGTTTAAGTCCTGAGGGCAAAGGAGGGCTATTGAGGGCCTGAGTGAGAGGCATGTTCATTCAACGTACATTCACTGAGAACCTACTATGTGCCAACCCTGTGCCAGCTCCTGGAAGCACAGCAATTGTTCCTGCCCTCAAGGGGCTTGTGATCCACTGGAGGAGAAGCTGTGTGGGGAAAATCAATCTCAGTTTAGTAATGAGGGTGGAAGGAAGGTGTATGTTTAAGACATGCAGGGGCAGAAGGAAGGCAATGGCACAGAGAAAGATGAATTGGGGGCAGGCTGAGGAATCAGCCTGCCTGCAGGAGGCACTGTAGATGCATGAGGGCCACTGCTGACTGTTTCCGTGTGGAACACCAGCCCAGCATTGTCAGATCTACTGATTTTTTTTTCTTTTCTTTTCTTTTTTTTTCTTTTGGCCACGCTGTGCGGCTTGTGGGACCTTAGTTCCCTGACCGAGTATAGCACCTGAGCCCCAGGTGGAAGCGTGGAGTCCTAACCAGTGGACCAACAGGGAATTCCCTACTAGTTTTTTTTAAGACAGTTTTTTAGAACAAAATTGAGGGGATTCTTTGCCCAAGAAACCTGAAATCTGTTTTTATGTAACCTCCTCTTTGAAACAAAACTATGTGTGGGAAGCAAACAAGTGTGCAGGCCACCAATTTGCAACCTCTGGATGCAACAAAGAGAAACACCTACGGAACTGGAGGGTGAGTAGGGTCAGCGTGGCCTGAGAGGGATGTCACTGGGCTAGAGAAGTTCTCAGAACGCCCCCCTCCCCAGGGCAGGAGGACTACCTGCAGCTTCCTGGACAAGCTCCCAGTCTCTGGCCTGAGCACAAAGAACCCTTCTATGAGGAAGCCAGAGGGAAGGGCCTGGATTCGACCTTCCTTTGAGAAATGCAGGACCCTGTGGGAGACCCACATGCTGAGTGGGCAAGACTGGACTCCATGTCTGGGGCCCACCCTGAATGGCCTCTCCTCTTACCTTCATCAGGCCTGGAGTGAAATCCATCCTGAGAGAGTGGCACCCCATTCTCAGGCACCAGGGACACTGCAGTGTGCCCCGCCCATGAAAGGGGTGGTAGGTTGAGTGCCCTGGGCCTTGTCAGGCTGGTCTCCTGCCTCATGCTCCTGGTTCCTCTGCCAGGGACTTCCTGCCCACCCCCTTGGGGGCACAGGCTGCCCCCAGCCATCCTCACCCCAACACTGGGCTCATCACTCCTGGGATTCACCCTTTCTTGTTGGTTTTATGGATTTAACTCTCCACACTTGCCCTGGGTCCCTGGGGCAAATGTGCCACCCCCCAACACTGTCCTCCCAGGGAGTGGTCAGTCTTGGGGGCAAAGGGGAGAGATGGTGCCAGGGTTCTGCCCCTCTCCCTGCACTCTGGGGTCACCAGTGAACTCTTTTCCTTCCCCACCTCTCCAAAGGGGACGTAACCATCACTACCTCCTCTGGGAAGCCTCTCACAGTCTACTACTTGGCTCAGGGAAAATTCTCCATCCCTACCAAGATCTCCTGGAAAAGTCCTACCACTGGCCACAAGGAAACCACACAAAAATCAGGGCCCCCAGGCCTCTTTCCACAATTCCTCCACAGGCTGTGCCTTGTAGTGACCCCTGCCCTGTCTTACCTTCTTGGGGGTGGAGGCTGGGTCAGGTAGAGTGAAGGGCAGGTGAGCTGGTGTCTGCGGTGCTTCTAAGATGGCAGCAGCAGCGGTGGGAAGGGAAGGGCGCCCTGCTGGTGCTGCAGCACGGATTGCTGTCCACAGGGGGAAGCTTCCACCCTCTGCAGGGATCAGGGAGGGAGCAGCCTGAACAGGGAACTGAGAGCCGCAGGCAGGTGTGTGAGCTTGAGCGTTCCTGGCAGGGAGTCAGATATGATCAGGCACAGTGCCTGGGTGTGGACAGCATGGGCCTGAGGTTACCCGCCTCGGTCTCCTTGGCTGACATGGCTGGGGACAGGAAAGTGGGAGAGCTGGGTGGTGATGGTGGCTACGCAAACTTCTGTAGTCAGGGTTCAGGGCAGGAAGGTGGGCAGAGTCAGCTCTCATCAGGATCTTGGCTAGCTCACCTCTAATGGGGCCAGTGAGGTCCCAGCATCCCCCCACCCCACCCCCACCCCCTGCCCCATGGAGGAAAGAAAGGTTCAGTGAGAATGCGTTGCAGGAGGGGTGTTTAATCTAGTTGTGAGATACTTTGGGGAGTCAGCATATGTATTTTACTTACCATTGTGCTAATCATGTGATGTTCTTACCTATTCATTACAGTGGGTCTCTATCACGATACTCTCTTCTGGATAATGCATTACCGAGCTCCCTTCTCCCAGTCTCAGACTAGACAGGCAACCTTGATTCCTCCTCCCACGGTCAAGAAAATGGAGTGGCTCTGAAGAGGCTGTGGGACTCTCAAGTCCCTCGCTGCAGGTGCTCTCATCTTTCCCATCTTGCACCAACACGCACCCTCTGCTTCAGCTAGGCTTTTTTCTGCTGTCCCCCGAATGGCCACCCCAGCCATCTTTGTAAAGTTACACCTACCCCGGATGTCCTTCATTCCCACTTCCAAGTGTCCAAGTTCTACTCCATTGCAAATGAATTCCATTTCAAATCCTCCTCCTTCCAGCATCCTTTCCTAGATATTCCAACCCCTAACTAATGCCAGCTCAGCCCAGACCAGAAAAGGGCTGGAAATTTCTTGGACTGAGGACAGCCTAGTCTTCCTGGCTCTGCTGGAGACATGAGAAGGGGAAGAGGACAATTTGAACCTGGGGCTGTTTTCTGCTGATCCCTAGTCCATGCCCCAGACCCACAGGGAACCAAGGGCAGGTTCTAGGAGTCTTGTTTCCAAGGGCCTGAGCCCTGGTGAGCGCTGGTTAGTTGTGCCGAGGGAAATCCATGCTCTGGCAACATCTCTACTTGCGGGGGTTCCTGGTACCCTGAAGCTAGGAGTGTGGGAAGCATGGGGAAGTCTAGATCCAGATCCTATTTCTGCATTTAGGGGCTGGCTGTTTTGGGAAGGATACTACACCTCTCTGGGTCTCAGTTTTCTCATTTGTAAAATGGCAAGAGTCTCAGTTACGTGCAGGGTTCCTGTAAAGTAGGTAAGATAATTTATGTAAAGCGACCAATGCATCAAATAATAGGCATTCCATAAATAGTAGCTCTTATATAGTGTAAGTAATAACAGCAACGGTAAATCCCCAGCTCCACCAATTTCCTACTGTGCAACTTTGAACAAATTCCTTATTTGTTCATCAGCTCCCTCACCTGTAAAATAAGGATCGTGGTTCATCCGTTTATTGAATAAATAATTATTGAGCAACCTGTTATGTGCCAGGCACAACTAAATTTGTCATTTAGTGTTAGTTAGAGATGCAGCACAGTGCCCAGCATGTACTAGGTGGTTGATAAATGTCAGTTTTCTTATACTAGCCGCAGCTGGAGGATGGGAGGTAGGTGGGGGGAGGGAGGGGTTGGGACAGAGAAACGGAACTCAGGAGGGGCAGAGATGGAAGGCTGGGCCTGCCTTGAATTCCCAGCTTCCTCCCCTGCCCTTTTATCCTTCTCTTGACAGAGCCTCGCTTTGTCTCTAAAGGCGGGGGATGGTGCTGGGGCCTCTTTCTGCCCCTTGGTTTCATCAGACTACTTCTGTAGACTAGATCATCTGTCCCTTGCCTGTAAAATGGAGACAGTGTCTTATTCTCAGACACTGGGGCACTGTGATGTGCCTGCCCCATTCAAGTGGCATCAGGCTGAGGACCCCTGCCCCCACAAGGACATGTCCCAGAGCTGTTTCCTCACTAAGCTGGTCTCCTGCCTCAAGCTTCAAGTTCCTTTCTCAGGGATCACAGGCTGGACCCAAGGCCTGTGGGCTTCTCAGCACTGAAACCCCATACCCTTCCGTTTTGACACTGCCCAACCCCCCGCCACACCAGACCAGACCCTCACAGAGCGTTGTGTGTATGTGTGTGACAATCAAAATGAGATCTGGTATGTAGGAAGTCTGCAATAAAAGCTGATTGAATGAATGCACAATGGATCCCCTCTGCAAATGGGGCTCATTCATTCATTCAACAAACATTTATTGAACTCATAATCCGTTTGGTTCCAGGCTCTGTGTCAAGGGCTGTGACATTCAGATTAACAGCAGCCAAGCTCTCCAAAGACTGAATGGCATTCACAGGTTTCCTGCTCCTAACAGCCCCAGGCCCACCTGGCTCTTAGAGCACCAGGCCCCTCCCTCACCCCTAGAGACCAGAGCACTGACTCCACCACTGATTTTGACTGCAGCAGATGTTCGAGTGCTGAGTCATTGACTTCGAGGTCGAATCCCGGTGCCATGACCCATCCTGTGCCCTTAGGCAAATTATTTAACTTCTCAGAGCCTCAGTTGCCTCATCTGGAAAACAGGCATAAATAAAAGTGCTTATCTCATATTTGCTGTGAGGAATAAATGAGATGAGGCACACGTTTAGAGCAACACCCAGTGCATAGCACGTGCTCGATGAACGTGAGCTCTTACTACGACTCTTGTCTCACTCTTGTGTCACAAGCGCTTACCTCCCTCTGTCTCCTCCGCAGCACCGGCCAGCACAAGCCCGAGCACGCAGGAGGTGGTCAGTGAAATAAGACCTCTTGGAAACAGGGAGATCTGATGGGACATTCTGGGTAAGGAAACCCAGAAACTAGCAAAGGCGTGGAGGTGGGGAAGAGCCGGGAGGGACTGTGCTTGGAGGAGCAGGAAGATGGAGGGGAAGGTCTCAGGGATGGCAGCGTCTGCTCGGGGATGGGAAGCTCACTACTCAGAAGCAGCAGGTTCGGTGGCTCAACGACTCTGACTGTCCTAGTTCTTTCCCTAGGTGGCCACGCTCTGCACTTCAAGTCATAAGAAAGCCACGGGGATCACGCTCCACTGTCAGCGAGGCCTAGACTGGATGTGGCATAATTATGAAGGAAGACCAGTAATCTGGGGGGCCTTCAGAACAAATGCCCACTTTCCCGTCTTCCAGGACACCCTCGCACCTTTGCCCTATGTGGGGCAAGTGGTCAGGTGGTGGACCAGGGAACAGGTCTGGCTAACTGATGGATGTTAGCCACGACCACACGCAGTCACAGAGAGCCAGAGTGGGGGCTGGAGAGGGGGCTACCAGGAAAGGACGATGCCTTACCCAGGGCTCTGCCAGAGATCCCTGGCTCTGGGTCTGTTTCTTCCTTGGTGAAATGGATACTATTCTGTAGGTTTCTCTCCCCTGTGGTAAAGATGAAAGACGGTAAGGCTAAAACCAATCTTGCCATTGGAAAAGAAAATCCAGGGTTGGAGGTAGAACTGGATGTCTTCCTTCAGAGCTAGGTGTGCCCATACTTGGGGTGGGGTGGGGGGCTGCCCTGGATTGCTCCCTCCTCACTGTCAGATAGGGCAGAACCCAGCTGGCCCTGGGCCCCTGGCATTCATCCTGTGAGCCAGGGTCCCATCATTGATCAGCCCCAACTGCCTGAGAACTTCCTGGGGCTGATAGAGGAGCTCAGACCCCTGGCTCTCAGGCCTGGGCTGGGGAGAGCTAGCCACGGTCCACCACACCCCTGGATTTCCACCCTGGAGGCTGCACCTTGGCTCACATCTTTAGGGCTCTGACTTTAACCCCTAGCCCGAGGGGAGATTCCAACACTGCAAAGCATGCACCCTAGGCCTGGCCCATCTCATCCTGATAGCATCCCCAGCATCTGCTCGACTGGTCTGCACAATCTCTAGCTCCTGCACTGCTGCGGCTGGACAGCGCCTCCTCTGGCCCCTCAGGCAGGGGCAGTAGGTGCTGCCAGGTTGCCGGTCAGGCCCTCCTGGGCCCCCATGTGCAGCAGGGGGGTCCCCAAGGAGTGGTGTCCTTACCTCCCTGATCTGAGCGAGGGGCAGTGGAGCAAGCTGCCGTGATCTCCGGAACTCAAGCTGCTGTGGGGGACAAAGTGAAGCAGTGACCCAGGGACAGCTCCCATTCGACGGGAGTGGCTTCTTTGCCCCTCCACTCAGGACTCCCCACCTGGAAAACACTGGAATCTGGGTTGGGTTGCACTGACCACAATGCACGTCCAGTGCCTTGGTGCTTACCAACTGCTTTCACATTCCCCACTTTGTCAAAGCCCCATAGCCCCCGATGAGGTAGGCGAAGACTACCAGACCTATTTTATAGACGAGGTAGATAGGCTCAGAGAGGCAAATGGATTCGCTCAAGGTCACACTGCTGCTAGAGAGCAGAGCCAGGTATAACCTGGAAACCACATGCTCACGGTGGGCAGAGTGGCACAGGCTCTGTGACTTTGGGCCAGTTACTTAACCTCTCTGAACCTCAGTCTTCTCATGTGAAAAATAGGGATAGTAATAGTTCCTATCTTGTTGGGTTATTGTGAAGATTAAATGAGATAATGCTGTAAAACGACCTCGGCATAGTAGTCGCATAGGGACCTACTGAATGAATGTGAGCAATGACTGTGGTTATTATCCCAAGAATACTCAGACGCTGTCCCTGTGTAGGCCACGGCCCAGATGAAGCCCTGTTGTTACCTCTAGGCTCCCATCTTGTCTCTGTTGGTGTCATTCAAGACCTGCTAAGCTGGGCTCAGGGTCCCAGTGTGGAGAAGCAGGGACAGAGTAGGGCCACTGGACTCCTCTCCAGGGTTGCCTGCCTGGTGAAGGGGGCCGGGAGCCTGTCTAGGGCTCTGATTCACAGCCCCACGGCAGTGGCTGCCTGCTTTCTCATGTGGACCTCAGGTCTGCTCAGGGCCAAGCAGGGGCTGACTGAGATTCTGCCCTGAGTCTTTGATCCCTAGAGGTCAAGGCTGAGCACGGGAGCTGAAAGGATCAGGAGTGGTCTAGGCTCTCCAAACACATCTCGGCCCAGTTCAGCCTGGCCCTCCAGGGTCTGTGGAAGCCCAGTTTCCCAGCATGGAGGCCCGCACATGGGAAGAGCTTGTTCCTTCTCTGTGTGCTGGGCAACCCTGAGACAGGAGGAGGGTGGGATTGTATATATCCAGGTAAGTTTGCCTTGGGGAAGCAGAGGCAAAAGTCAGCCTCAGAGTAAAAGGCACGGGGGTGTGAGTGATCCTGGGCCCAGCTGGAGTGACGCCACCCCCAGGCCCTCGGTCCTGCAGTCTCCTGCGAATTACACCCACCGTTAGCCCTGGGCTTGGACACTGCTGCTTGAGAGCCTGCCTCCTACTCACGAATCCCCTTCAGGACAGGGCCCAGGCCGGCGGCCGGACTCCACCACCGTGCTCTGGGGTCTGCAAGACGAGTCCCAGGTAAGACCTTCCCCACCTCACCTACACACTTTTGGACATCCTCTGCAGGAGCCCTGCCGTGAGAAGGTAGGGAGGGTAGTTCTGGCCACACTTCCTGAGACCTAAGAGGTGAGTAGGCATCTCTGTGTCTAAGATGAGCTCTGTGAAAGCTTTGGGGCCTGTGGGGCCGGATCCTTAGCATTTTAAAATTTTATTATGACTGCGTTTGTTTAAATATATATATATTTATAGCTCTATGTGCCCACCGCTCCCCGGCTCCCTCCCCGGCCCCTAGTTTTTCCCCTTGGCTTTCTGTCTGGTGGCCATGTAGGGCAGCACCGTCTGAGTGCTCTTGTCTGACACCGTTTGGGTGCTGCTGTTTCTTGTGACCCTTCGGGTCTGCTCGGGGGCCAAGGTGGGGTCTGAGCGGCGGCCAGTCAGTGGAGAGCGCCTCGGCTTGTAGGGAGCCGGGGAGGGCTTGAGGGGGCCCGCGTGGGCCTCTGTGTGGGGAGGCTCCGGGGACAGGCCCACCTCCTCCTCGCCATCCCCCTCCTCGTCGTCACAGCATAGAGCATGGTAGAGCACTTTGTCGCTGAATCGCACCCTCTCCCGTGTGCCCGGGGTCCGCTGGGGCAGCTGGCCCTTCACAGGGCCAGCGCTGAAGGCCTCCTCGCTGGAGGAGTCCGGGGTCTCCACCCGGGGCCCGTTGGGGATGGGCACGCTGCCATTCATGAGCCGGTAGTCAGGGCCAGCCCCTGGCCGGGTCGACTCGGGGCCGTCCACGGAGTCTGAGGGGGTGGAGATGTCCAGGAAGGAGCAGAACTCCCAGCTATCCGAGAGGATGTCAGCTGTCATAAAGTCCAGGTGGCCCAGGTCAAAGGGGCCGCCCACGCCCACCTTGTCACTGCTGGAGGTGCTGCTCACGGTGGCTGTGGTCCAGTCATCTGGCTCCAGTTCGAAGTCAAAGTCCGAGGTTAGCTTATCGATCTGGCTCACCACCTGGCCGGGGAAGGGGAGAGGAGTGAGTGAGAGGGGCCAGGCAGCGGCCAGCATCACCTAGGTGTGAGTGTGCCCCGTCCCACCCTACTACACCCCCCGGCTGATGACCCTGCAGGACACGACTGGACTTGAGGTCACCAGTTTGTTTGCCCCGTTGAGGGCCCAAACTGGACCAGGGTGAACAGAGCTGGTTCCGGCCATTCCCCTGGTTCCACTCCTCAGTGCCTTTGGGGGAAGGGGGATGCCTTCCAGCCCTGCACCCCGTCCATTCACACGTCCCTCTGCCCCAAAGCCAGCTGCTCTTCTGGGGGGCAGCCCTGGTGCTCAGAGCTTGATCTTCCTTTGGTTGACAGGGGGCCATTTAAAAAGAGCTGAGAGACTCCAGCAAGGCCACTCAGTGGTAGGATGAGCAGCCCACCCACCCTTGGAGAGGAAATGATACATGGTAACTGCAAAGAAGGCTCTGCCCAGGCTTTCTGAAGCATCCTGGACCAGCCCCTGCAGTGGGTCAGCGAGTGCCCCCCATGGGTCTCTACCACCCCATCCCTACCTAGCCCTGGAGCCTCCCCCATCCTCCCCTTCCCTGCCTCTTGATGAGTGAAGATCAATCCTAGTTTGATGGGGAAGGGATAAAGCAAGCATTATTCGGTAAGCGATAAGAAAACCATCCATCCTGGGCCCAGAACTGCTGGTTAAGTGCCCTCAGGGGCTACAGAGGTCACTGCACCCACCTGCCCCGCACGAGGTGAAGCCCTGTTTCATGCAGGAGGCCCTGCCTCAGGACAACCCTTGCCTAGGCCACTGTCAGCACAGACATCAGCAATAAAGACAGTGAGGCAGAAAGGGAGACCCAGTCAGACATAGGGAGAGGACAGAGCAAGGGGAGGAGAGGAGATTCAGGCCAAAATCCAAAGCAGTACAACAACAACAAAAGCAAAGCGGAGGGACCAAGAGACCCAGAGACAAAGACATAGGCAGTGAGTCATCAGGCCCAGGAGCTAGCTCCCAGCCCTCTCCAGTGCTCTTTCCCTGGAGTCAGAGAGGTCAGTTAATTCATTAACTAATGAAGTCCCTAATTCAACAAACATTTACTGAAGATGACTGCTGTCCGGGGATGTGCTAGGTGTTCAGCAAGGAGTCGGGGTGGTGAGTGCCTCAAAGTGCAAGTGGAAAGCAAGGGCAAAGATGATGGGTCAGGAGGAGTCTGGCTCGGTGAGACGTCTACTGCGTCAGGAGTTGGGAGCTCTGACGCTGGCAACCTGGTCAGTCCTTTTCCCTCTCTAGGTCTCAGTTTCTCAATCTGTCAATGGGCAGTTGGGTGACTAGTTTATCTCCAAACTTCCTTCCATCTCTGAGATTCTAGGACTCTTGTATTTAGAGGAGTGACTTGAGAAGCTGTTTTGGGGTGTCAATGCCTAGGGATGCCCACTTCCCACAGCCCCCGACCAGGGATGGAAGGAACACTCGGTTGAGGCCTATGGAAGAGCTGGGGGAGTCAAGACACCTGGGTTCCTGATTCGGCTTAGACATCAAATGTCCTGTGTCTTTGAGTAACTCACATAACCTCTCTGGACTTCAATTTCACTCACCACCAAGTGGGTATGATAATCTCAGGCCTGCCAACCTCACCAGAGCTTCCTGAGGAACAATGAGAAGGCAGTAAAAGGGCTCTGTGGGGGCACTGGTGATAAAAGTGATATCATCTCCCATCTCTGAGCACCTACTACGTGTCAGGCTTTCCACCCACGAGATCATCATCTCCTGAATTTAGGGATGATGGACCAGAGGCACCAGTCACAGGGGACCTGAGGTTCCCGCCTCTGCCGGCCCTGCAACACCGCACACGGCTGAGGTGCTGCCACGATTTCTGGGCTTGGACAGGCAATGGGGATAGGGCTCTACCCTCCGGTCTGACCACCCCAGTCCCCCACCCTAGAATGACTCCCCCACTTCAGAGAAGCTCGCATCCCCCTTAAACCCTTGCTTAACCCAAGCCCCACCTGAGAGCTGGTGGGAGCCCTGGCCTAGAGTAGGGGCTCTCAAACCCAGGTGCGCATCAACTCCCCAGAGTTTCCGATTCAGTAGGTCCCAGTGGGGCTCAAGAGGTGCATGTCTAACAAGCTTCCAGGTGATGCTGCTGCTGCCGCTGTTGGTACCAGGAACAGACTTTGAGGACCACTGGCCTAGGGGACTGGGGATTTAAGCTGGTGAAAAATAGCTCCCCAGGGCATAGCCGCCCTGGGGAGAGGCCCTGTGCCCCTGGGACAACCACACGCTCTAATTAGACTCCGCTGCCGAGAGTCTGCTGCTGTCTGAGGGTGGGAGGATGATGGTAGGAATCTGGAGTTACATGACTCGGCTGTGAACTCACAGGGTTGCCTGTAGCCAGGCCAGGCCCCGAAGCTGGGCTCCTAATCCCCTGTGAGGAAGATGCAGGGTCCACGGGGCAGGAGCCCTAGAGCCTCAGGCCTGGACACTCTTCCCGCCCAAGAAGCCCTTGCCGGCCACCTGCTCAGGAGGCCTTCACGTTCAGGCCCTTCCCCTTCTCCATTAGAATGCCCCTCTCTGTTTCCATCCTGGGAGAGTGGAGGGAAGGAAGGGAGGGAGGTCTGGACTCAAGTCCCAAGTCTGCCCCATCTTGGCTAAGAGACTTGAGAGGCAGGTGATTTCCCTCTCCATGTCTCATTTCCTCCCCTGTAAAATAGGAGGACACACCTCTACTTGCCAAACGTTGGGGATTCAACAGATAGGAATGTGCTTTAAACTGCAGAGTCTGCACAGCCAAGCACTTAAGAATCTGGGCTCTGCATCCAGGCCTGGGGACCCAGATTGTATGCAGGGCCCGGGTCAGTCCACAAACCCTGCTGCCCGTCCCTGGTGCCTCATTTCATGGGGCCAGTTAGGAGGGCAGGAATAGGGTAGGCCCCAGGCTACCTACCTCTCTGCTTTGGCTGTCTTGAAATCTATGATTTCTCTCTGAGATTTAATAATCATTTTGCCTACATGTAATTTGGGATTGTCTTGGAGTGCAGGGAAATAATTATATACACAAAAGGAAAGAGACGGGGAGAGAATGGAACCACAGAAATCACAGAACCATAGAACCTTGAAGCCAGGAGGGACTGGAGACACTGCTGAGACCACTCTTCCCATTGTGCTTGCTGACGGGGACTAGAAGGGGCTGAGCTGAGACTGGAAGTCAGGGGTCAAGGATGGGAATCACCTGCTCCACAGGGAGCAAGAGTGAGCACTAGAGAGGAAGGGCAGGGCTAAGGGCTGTGGCAAAACCTGCTGGGGGCCTCAGGCCCTGTCCCAAGGGTGTCTACAACCTCTGTCCTGGCCACAGCCTCAGCTGCACCCCCCGCCCCGAACACTGCACCCATCCAGTCTCCCCACTGACAGCCGCTTCCTGTCCAGCTCCTGCTGCACCCAGGGAACTTCCTAATCAACCTGCAGGAACACATCACCTCTCTGCTTCCAGCACTTCACTGCTCCCCAAACTCCTGAGCCTCCCAAACACAACCCCACAGCAAATCTGGTCACAGGCCCTGTTCTCTCCAGCAAGCAGCCTCCTCCCTGCCAGGCCTGCCCCCTCACCTGCCCAATTCACTCCACCGAGCTCACTTGTGCCTCTGGGCCGCACCTGGAATGCCTTCTTTCTTTCCCACTCGTTCCCTCTCACTTCCATAAGGAAGTCTTCCCTGACCCCCGGTTGAGGACAGTTCCCTGTGAAAGGCCCTGAAAGTACCCTGCACCTCTCCTTATTTTCCAGTAGTTATCACTGCTACCGTTTTGTGTGCAGATGTTGTAAGGTCGTTGATGTCTCTCTCCTCACTAGACAGGAAGCCCCATGAAGGGCAGGACAGGATCTGTCTTGCCCACCATTGCATCCCAAGTTTGGCACAGGGATTAGCACATTCTTTACAAATATAGCTTTTCAATGAGTGGATGAGTTGAGACAGAGGGCTTAATAAAACCACTTGGGGCTTCTTTTTCGAGAGAAAGTTCCATGGGCCTGGACACTCCAACACTGCCCGCCCTAGCCCGTCCTCCAGCCATGGGTGAGACCCCTCTCCAAAGAAAGCACGTCTGTGTTCCCTAAGGCCCCAGGACTGAGGACCCGGGAGCCCCAGAACCTGTTTATCTCCTCCCCCTTCACCTCTGGCCCCTTCAACTCCCTTGACAAGCTGCTACCTCCTTCCCTCCCTCCCAGCTCCCCGGGCAGCTGGTTACATAACTGGGGATTCTGCATTATTTATGACCACTGATTATTTTTTAATTCTTGATTACGTTATTTATCGTCTTCCTGGAGGGCTGTGGAGCTGGGGAAGGGGTGGCGGGGAGCGGGTTGACCGTGCGTGATTCATGATTTTCATCCTGCAAGTTGGCATAATTGGTCGGGGAGTTTCTTGAATCTGTCTGGAGGAGGAGAACGCAAAGGGAAAAGGGAGGAAAGGAAGGCGAGAAAAAACAAAATAATAGGAAAAACTCCGCACAATTCTTGCTGAGCTGCGGGTGACGGAGCTGACCCACTTTGGCACAGCTCTGTGGTCCCTAGCCTCTCCGGCTCCAGCTGCTTCCTGGCGGGGACACATTTATCTCATGCCTGAACGGCCCTTGGCTTTCCCTGCCGCCTCACATGCAGCGCCTTGCCGAGGTGACCGCACAGTCACCACCGGGCCTGCTCCCCATGAAAATTGGGTGGGGGGATCCTCCACCACCGCCCCTGGCTGTGAAATGTTTGTGCCCACCCCTCCATCCTCCTGAGGTGTTCGGACCTAGGTGGGCAACTGTGCCCTTAAGTTATGTCCTACTCAAGAGTCAGTGATGATGTGAGAGACACCGGCCGATCAACACAAGAGACGGTTTTGAGCCTCCATGCTGAGCGATATCTTGGGGAGGGGACAACCAAGGAGGAACCTGCTCAAGGTAAGCTCAAAGGCCAAAGGCAAGCCCCTTATCCCTGGCCTTGGGGGCTCCCAGTTGATAGGAAACAGGGAGAGCAGCGGGGAGGCAGACTCCCACCCCGAAACACAACCAGGAGATTCCTGGAGAGCGTGTGGGACTCTCACTGAGGACAAAATCCAAATTCCACACTGTAGCCTGCGAGGGCTCTGTGTCATCTGACTCCCTGCTCCCTCTTTGACTTCCTGCTTTTCTCCTAGTTCACTCCACTTCAGCTGCACTGGCTTCCTTGCTGATCCTGAACACGCCGAGCCCATTTCTTCCCCAGGATCTTTGCACAGGCTGTTTCCACTGCCAGGAAGGCTCATCCCCTAAATACCACCCTCACTTCCTTTGGTTCTCTGTTCAAAAGCCGTCTTATTGGAAACCCCCTTCATATCCCCATATCACTGTCACTCTCTATTCCCTTTCCTTGCTGCAAGAGGATGGGACTGCCTACTGCATGCAGGAGGTACTAAATGGTGCCAGCCAGGAGGTCAGGGTTCTGGCTTTGACCTCCCTGATGATGGCTAAGAACTGATGTGACTCCAACAGAACAAAGCCATACACGGAGTGAGGCGCTGGCCAGTGCTAGAATATTTCGTTAATAATATCTAACAGATATGGAGTGAGTTTTGTGCCCATCACTGTGCTAAGTACTTTATATATAATATCACATTTAATTCTCACAACAACCCTGGGGCTGGGGGGTGGGGTGGGGGGTGTAAAATGTGTTATCCTCATTTACATGGGAAAACAGAAGCACAGAAAGGTAAAGAAATTTTCCCAAGTTCACACAGCTAGGTAGGGGGCAGACCTTGGATTTGAACCAGAGACATCTGGCTGTGGAGCCCATGCTCTTAGCCCGTAGGCTGTGCTGTGCCTCCAAATTAAGAGCCACAGAATTCTGAGGAGCTTAGAGAGCCTGCTGGGATGGGCCTGGCATCCTGGAGTATTGGGGAACCTAGGAGAGATGAGGGCTAATTAATGATTGACCGTCACATCCCTCTGCAGCACAATTTTAGCTTTCAAAGCATTTACATTCCTCACCTCACTTAGTCCATTAAACTACTTTTCCCATTCATGGGACAGAACTTGTTCCTCATCGCCTGGGAGGCCAATGGCAGAGCTACAGCAGGGGTTTGGAAGGGTAGGGGAGGTATGGGACAGGAAACTCCAAATCCTTTAGGGGTGTGAGTAGGTGTTGGCCCCCCTACCGCATGCCAGACCCTGATGAAACCCTAAGATCACACTGAGGTGAGAATGATCGTCATCCCCATCTCAGAGGAGCAGACTGAGGCTCAGGGGCCTGGGAAGGGAGTGCATTGGTGTCCCTCGTCTTTCTACGAACTTCAGGCTGTACGCTCAAGAGGGTAAGGAGAGTCTGCCATGATCAGTGGTGTCTGGGGCTGGGGAAGGGAGCAGCAGAGAGAGGAGAATGACAGAGGGGACACAGCTAAGCCCTTCCTCTCTGCTGGCCTTGCTCCTTCATCAAGCATCCTGTGCTGCTCCCCAGCAGTCTTGCACGTGAATCCTGTCTTCACATCTAAGTGCTTTGCGCACCCTGGCATGAGAACCCCACTGGTGAGCCCTGAGCTGCTACTGCCCGGGGAGTGGGGTATGATGAGGGAAAAGTGTCTGCCACCCTCTCGACTTTGGGCCCATCCATATCCCCAAGGGAAAATGCCTTACTAAGCTACTGAGAAGGAGCGCCTGACAGATCCAGCTTTACAGCCCCCGTGGAGGACCAAGATGGCACGTTCCAGGGAGCAGGCGGACTGAAACCCTTTACTCCAAACCAGAGCTTGGCGCCCCCCACTCAGTAACCGCATTCCTGACGAATCCCATCCAACAGGAAGTCAGTTATGGCATCTACTCTTCTGTCTGGGCTTCCCAGAGCCTCACCTGCTTTCTACAACACTTCCTCTGCCCATCACCCCATGTCCAGACCCTGCCTGGGGGATGGGGGAGCTCTGAGGCCTGGTGACCCCTCCCAGCTGGGTGCCATTGGCAGTGGGCAGGCTGTGGCATACGGGGTAGACTCTGGTTGCCATAGCAACCTGCCAAAGTCTTGGGTGGAGGCACATGGCCTACAGGGTGTGTGGGGGGAGGGGACTCATCTCTCCCTGTCCTAGCTCAGGCCTCTAGGCTGCAAATCCTGGGAATCTGAAGCTCTGCTGTTCGAGACATGGGAGTAGGTGAGTGTGTGTGCTGGGAAGGGACATCTAAAAGATCTGCAAATGAATCCTAGCACTTCTGAGCTCCCTGCTTCACCCCTAAAGGGTGCTCCTCAGAGCATCACAGCATGAGCATAAGGTATCACCTCTAGAAGACCCCTGTCAAAATGCAAAGATATCAATTAGCCCACCTGCTGAAGCCCCAGAATAGGCAGCAGGAACCTGAGTTCTAGGCTTCGTTCTGCCACTGGTAGGCTGTGTGACCTTGGACAAGCCCCTATCCCTCTCTGGCCTCAGTTTCTTCAACAGCAAACAAACAGGGATGGTCTGGATGACCTGTGAGATGCCTTCAAGCTCTGGATGGCTATTTGGGGAGGGGTGGCAGGTGCCTGGAAGAGGCTCAGTTGGGAGTAGGCTCTGAGCTTATTGAAGCTGCCTCCCAGGCTTAGAGTCAATCCTGGCTCCTTCTGGGCAGGCTTGCTGGGGCATAGGTCCCATGCCCCTGCCCAAGACTGAGACTCTGGACAGTTCCCATGGTCCTGATAGAACCACAGAGCATCTGAAATAAGATGAGGGTGGAGAGAGTCAAAGAGGGGACTGTAGTCCTCTGGACCAATGAGGTTGGGAGAGGAGGGGTTGCTCAGGGGCATCTGGCCTTTGACCTCCAAACTGTATTCTCAAAGATGTTCAGTCCAGACCATGGCCAGCCCAGTCCGTGGGAAGAAGCACCACACCTCTCTACCTGCAGCAATAGCCATTCCCACCTCCTGAGAAAGTACTTCCTAGTACGTTCCTCCATAAGGCTGCCTCTGGGCAGAGGGGCTGCCCTGTCCAACCCCTGCTTCTGTCCCAGCATTTCCACAACCCCCTGTACTCCGAACATGACTCCCTTCCAACACCCTCTGCTCCTTGGCTCTCAGGCCAGGCTAGAATGCCACTTTCC